TCAATCTGCTGTCCCATATACAGTGGTGGTCAAAATTATTAGTACACCTGACAGATCTGAAAATATTGACTTTTTTTGCCTCCAAAACATTAATTCATTTCATAATGTTCATGAAACGTGCAGATAGTTGCTCTGAGCACAACGAATTTCAGATGAAGTGAGTCGTACTGTTTTTATCCACTTTTTAACTGCAGATTGTAGGCGTACCATTTGTGGACACTAAGTGCCCTTAATGTGTACTCTCAAATCTGAAGGTATCAAGCTGCTGTGTGTGTGTGTGTGTGTGTGTGTGTGTGTGTGTGTGTGTGTGTGTGTGTGTGTGTGTGTGTGTGTGTGTGTGTGTGTGTGTGTGTGTGTGTGTGTGTGTGTGTGTGTGTGTGTGTGTGTGTGTGTGTGTGTGTGTGTGTGTGTGTGTGTGTGTGTGTGTGGGGGGGTGTGTGTGTGTGTGTGTGTGTGTGTTACGTTTAAAAGGCGTTTAATCTGAGGAAGTGCACTTATTGAGATGATTAACACAGATTAGTGACTACACACACACACACACTAGCCCAGACGTCTCCATATATTCCCATCAGACTTTCTATTGACTTCTATTGGTTTTATAATTATTTTCTGTATTTAGAAAGCTTTTAGATGTTAATTAAGACCCTATGTTGTAAAGTGTTGTTATTGTTAACTAAAATATTTTTTTAATTGTTTTCGGTCATTTAAATAAAGCTGAAATAAAATAACATAAAATTAGATTAAAAAAACTGGCAAATAACTGAAATAAAATATGTTGAAGTACTATAATTAATTAAACTGATACAATACATTAAAGCTAAATAGAAATATTTGTAAAATAAAATTGTAGGGCGTCCCATTAGTCTCACATGTGTGTGTATTATGTTTTAAAGGCATTTAAATTTGAGGAAGTGAACTAATTGAGATGATTAACACAGTTTAGAGACGATACACACTCATAATCACAATCACACACACACACTAGCCCAGACGTCTCCATATATTCCCATCAGACTTTCCATTGACTTCTATTGGTTTCATACTGAGGTAATTATTTTCTGTATTTAGGTTGTACTTTTAGATGTTATTTAAGACCCTGTTGTCTGTTTTAGTGTTGTTCTTATTTACTAAAAATATGAAAAAAAATAGTTTTCAGTCATTTAAATAAAGTTGAAATAAAATAACCTTAAATATTAGATAAGAAAACTTAAAGCAAAAAAAAAAAAGCGTTGCCTTGGGAAATAACTGAAATAAAATGAGCTGAAGTACTATAATTAATAAAAATACATTAAAGCTAAATACAATTTGTTTTAAAGTAATAAAAAATAATAGTAATAAAAATAAGAGCTACTTCAAAATATTAATGAATATTAGAGATTCTGGATAAATTGAGAATCATGATCAACAGACAATTAAACAAAATAGCATGTCATTTACTAGAGGTTCTGACAAAATATTAAAATGTTTAATTAATTTGATTTTTTTTTTTTTTTTTTTTTTAGAATGAATGATTCAATGACTCACTCATAAAGACAGTTTTTCTATTACTGGATGAATCAACGTTTCTAAATACATTTTTTACCAGTCACGTGTCGCCACCTACTGGCGTAATGATGTAATTGATACAATCCTTATTTGAAGCATCAAGTTTTTTGTCTTTTTATCCGAAATATAAACTTTTATCCCACCCTTCTGTGGTAATATGAGTATTTGTAACAGAAATAATGATACTGTGTGTTTGAAAATATTGTTTGTGGAGCAGTTTCATCATGACAGCGTCTCTCAGATCTGAATGTTCGCTGTGATTTTGTCAAAGGTTTAATAGACTCAGGCGGATCGTTGTCATTCAGGAATAAGGTCGCATGAGTGTTTATATTGCGATCCTTTAATGATTAATCGTGCAGCTCTAATAAATACTAAGATCAGTATTATTTCTATACTATTAAACACCACTCAGTTCATTAGTTAGACCTTTTAAAGTGGCACACAAGCTTTGGTTTTTCTTAATGAAGTGCTTCATTAATTAGGTTAATTACATGTGTTTTGAGCGGCGCTAGTGTTTCTACCGCACAGTCTTAGTGTGATAAGCCTGTTTTAGTTCAGTAGTTTTCTATCTCTCTCTCTCTCTCTCTCTCTCTCTCTCTCTCTCTCTCTCTCTCTCTCTCTCTCTCTCTCTGTCTTCAAATTTATGCATGAGCAAATTGTAAAGGTTAATTATTATTATTATTTTAAACGAGTGTTGTGTTTTTAAGATGCTTTTTCATACCTTGAGACTGTTTCTAAATCCATTGCACTCCTTTTAGCTGCTTTTTTTTTTTTTTTTACTTCTACTAAAAATCTTTAATTTTTTTTGTAAATAAAGTGATCTTAAAGTCTCTCTCTTTCTCTCTCTCTCTGTGTGTGTGTGTGTGTGTAGTGTTGGGGAAGGTTCGTAGCGCGGTGGGAAGCGCTCAGCTCCTCATATCCCAGAAGTTCCAGCAGTTCAGAGGCCTGTGTGAACAAAACCTGGTGGGTCAATCACAGCAGTTCAAACACACACACTTTAGTCCAGATACACACATACAGTGTCTTACACACGCCTCTAGTGAACAGAAGCATTTAGTTTCAGTGTCTTATTCACTGAGACAGAAGCAGAGTTAAAGGGTTAGTTCACACAAAAATGTAAATTCTGTCAGTAATGACTCTCCCTCCTGTTGTTCAACCCCGTAAGACTTTCGTTCATCTCCTGAACACAAATGAAGATATTTTTGATTAAATCTGAGAGCTGGATCACTCCTCCATAGGCTTCTTAAGGGATCGAAACTGGCCGGCCCAAAAGTTATGAAAGACATCGTTAAAATAGTCCGAGTGACTACAGTGGCTCAATCTTAAGTTTATCAAGCGACGAGAATACTTTTTGTGTGCAAAAAACAAACAAAAATAACGACTTTATTCAACGAAATACTATTTTTTTTTTTGCCGCACAAAAAGTATGCGAGTAATTACTGACAGAGTGTTCATTTTTGGGTGAACTAATTTAAGGTCGGTTCACACAGAGGACGATAATGATAAAGATAGTTTTAAAAATCATTCGAAATATAAAAGAACTGGAGCGTTCACACCGCAATTATAGCGAGAACGATTTCTGACAGCCAATCAGAATCCATCCTGCTTTAACAAGCTCGAGTATTTAAAACATTTGCTTATAATAAACGATATCGTCCGCTGGTGTGCACAATAATATAGTAGTTATCCTTATAATTATCATTCTAGTTCTTGGTGTGAATGGGCATTTATTTATACTGTTTTAGTTATTGATGTTTAGAATGTTTTTTATGTTTATAATATCCGGTTTCATTGACATTCTATTCAGTTTTTTTTTTTTTTTACACTTTTTTTTTTATGTCTATAGTTTTTATTTCAGTTTTAGTTATTTTAGTGTGTCAAGTTAATTAAATGAAAATAAGAAATGTTCCCTTGGCAGCTAGCTGAAATAAAACAAGTTTAAGTTTTATTCATTTTATTTCATTTAACGTTCATTTTCAAACTGCTCTCATCTTGCTAATTCTGTGCAACAACTTATGATTTTATGAACAATAATACGACCGTTGTGTTTTACTGATGAGGCTCTTTAAAAGTTCTGTATTTTGGACTGTTTTTGTTCGTCTGTTCTGACTAAAGTTTAGCACAAGATTCACATCCAAATCAGAAAATGGCAAGAGTTTATTTATTTAAGAGTTTATCACACATTTATCACATGATCAACATGACCTCATATCTTGAGATGCGTCGCCCTCTTATGGACAACTGAAGAAGTGCTAGCGTGAATTATTTCTTCTTTTTGCTGTTGTTCTTTTTTACTGTCCATTCAGAATGTGAACGCCAACCCGAGACCCACGGCTCAAGATCTGGCCGGGTTTTGGGATCTTCTGCAGCTCTCAATAGAAGACATCAGCCTCAAGTTTGACGAACTCTATCATCTCAAATCAAACGACTGGAAGCTGAACGGAGACTCGCCTGAGAAGCAGGTACAAACACAACTAATGAAACCATCAGCAGGTTAGACATAAATGCATATGTTAAACTGTCATTTGAAACTGTCAATGTTGATATTCTCACTATTATAGTATTTGTTAATCATTTGAATTAGTCATTTTGTCATATATTTATATATATATATAGCTTTAATTTACACTGCTGGTTAAAAGTTAGCAATGGTTAAGATTGTTTTAAATGTTTGTGAAAGAAGTATCTTCTGATCAGCAAGGCTGCATTTATTGATCAAAAATACAGTAAAAATTTTGAAATATTATTAGAATATAAATCAGCTGTTGTCTGTATGAATACATTGTAAAATGTAATTTATTCCTGTGATCAAAGCTGAATTTTCAGCATCATTACTCCAGTCTGCAGTGTCACATGATCCTTCATATGATGATTTGCTGCTCTATTATTATTGGTACTTAATAATAGCTCTTATTATTATTTGTGTTGAAGAGAGTTTTTGCTGTTTAATATCTTTGTTGAAATTATGAAATATTTTGTTTTTAGGATTCTTTGATGAATAGAAAGTTCAAAAGAACAGCATTCATTTGAAATGGAATCTTTTGTAACATTATAAATGTCACTTTTGATGTATTTAATGTCTCATTGCTGAAGTCTTTCTTAGTGTGTTGTATATTTATTTCAGTTCTAGTTTTATAATTTAGTACTTCAGCTTAATTTTCATCTAATATTAATATTTTATTGCAGCTAACAATGTCTGATGTCTCATGTCTCTTCATCTCTGATCTTGATGCTGTTAAATATCTTTGTTAAAATATCTTACAGGATTCTTTGATGAAAAATAATAGAAAAATAGAATAGAACGTTAAAAATAACAGCCTTAAATATTCTGAAATAGAATATTTTGTAACATTATATGTTTTTACTTTCAATTTTGATGTATTTAATGTGTCATTGCTGCAGTCTTTCTTAGTGTGTTGTATATTTATTTCAGTTTTAAGTCATTTAGTTCTTCAGCTAAAAATGTTCATCTAATATTTATATTTTATTACAGCTTTATTTCAGTTAACGAAATTATTTTTAACACTTGTAGTTTCAGTCAACATTAAACACTGACATATTCTCATAGACTCATTGCTGAAGTCTTAGTGTATTGTATATTTATTTCAGTTCTAGTTAGTACTTCAGCTTAAAATTTTCATCTAATATTAATATTTTATTGTAGCTAACACATTTTTTTTTACCACTTGTAGTTTCAGTCAACATTAAAAACTGACATATGCATTAGGAGGACTCAGTGTCTCATGTCTCTTCGTCTCTGCTCTTCCCGGTTCAGGAGAGCCAGAAACAGGCTCCTCCGGTGCCCAAGAAACCCGGGAAGAGTAAACCGGCTCTGGGCCGCGAGAAGAGCAACGACACCGTGGACAAACAGAGACAAGAAGCTCGCAAGAGACTGATGGCGGCCAAGAGAGCCCAGTCCGTCAAGCAGAACTCGGCCACCGAGAGCGCCGACAGCATCGAGATCTACGTTCCCGAAGCGCAGACGCGGCTCTGAGGAACACACACACACACACACACACCGTAACAAGACCAAGGGCTCCGGCATCACACCACACGAAACGCTGCTTTCGTCCGTCCACGGCGGCGTTTACTCAAACTGAGGTGAGAGAGGGACACGGAAATCAAGACGGACACTTTGTTACTTTGTTTTGGGACTGCCAAGGAAATCCTCACAGAGAATCCTCTTAGTTGCAATCATTAATATAATTATTGATATGATAATTAACATTGAGAACTGATATTATTGTCCTAAATTCTATATGAGATTGTTTTAAATGTTCTAATATTTTGGATAAGTAGAAACACACGTCTGTCACACACAACGCTTGCATAATTCCCCGCTGAAATCCACGTCTTCCTGTTTTACGCTTGGGTTTCTCTTCTTCTTCTTCTTCTTCTTCATCTCTTCCTTCAGCCGGCGAGTGAACAGAGCGAAAGGCTTCTCTCCAGATCTAGGCTGAATCTGAAATCGCCCCCTATACCCTCAAACAGGGCGTTATTTAAGTGGACAGCCATTTGTAGTGGTGTCCGAAACCATAGTGGACTCTATTGAGTGCACTTATTCAATCCCACAATGCACTCCAATAACAAGTGTACAACCGATGGACGCTCAACGGCTGCCCGAATTCCTGAATTTTTCATAGTGGACTAGCGTAGGGAATAGGGAATGAGGGTTTAGGGGGCGATTTCGGCTCTCCCGAATGTCATGTGTTTCCGGTCAGGCAGGGGGCGCTCTTCCATTTCCTGTTTCATTTGTTTTGATGTTTACAAAAGTCATGCATTGTGGTATATCACATGAAAGCTGTTGTACCTCAGTCATGTGTTCATCTCAGGTCCTGAAGTCTCACGGTTGTCGAGTTTCCATGAGTTTGTACAGGTTGTCAATCCCGGAATTCCTTCTGCTTTGCTTTAAAGGGGCTATATGTACGAATTTTCATGTATTAATCACGTTTTTATTGCTAATGTGCGACACTTTAAAAACAAGTCCTTCCCTGGCTTAGTTTGTCTATGAAAGCCTGTAGACTGATTTTTATGTGAAGGATTCGGGACGTTTTTCCCGGGAAAATCAAAAGCATGTGACGGTTACGCTCCCGAGAGTCTCTCTATCGCTCACACATGAAAATAATACTTACAATGTTCAGGATAATGAAAGGATAGGTCAATATGTCATGCAAGGAAATTTCAGATTGATTTAAACTATAGTCTCACATAGCCAGATCTAAATAGTCTGACATATACTTGAAAATCAAACTATCATAAGTGTGATAGTGTCAAATCTCAGATCTGCTGAAAACATCCACATCTCTATGATCAGACGATTAATGAACCGCTGTTTCTCACCGCTGGCATTTTTCTTGTTTATTCTACAGGTGAAACTCGAAAAATTAGAATATCGTGCAAAAGTTCATTTATGTCAGTAATTTAACTTAAAAGGTGAAACTAATATATTATATAGACTCATTACATGCAAAGTGAGATATTTCAAGGCTTTATTTGTGATAATTTTGATGATTATGGCTTACAGACATGAAAACGTTTTCACAATATTCTAATTTTGAATTTGGGGTTTTCATAAGCTGTAAGCCATAATCATCAAAATTATAACAAATAAAGCCTTGAAATATCTCACTTTGCATGTAATGAGTCTATATTAATATTAGTTTCACCTTTAAAATTGAATTACTGAGATAAATGAAGTTTTGCACGATATTCTAATTTTTCGAGTTTCACCTGTATTATTGAGAGGAAAGCGCATCACATATTTCCATATTCATCTACCCGTCGCTCTAGCAGTGCGGATGTTCGTCAACAGTTTATCACTGCTAATGTATTTCCAACTTCTTTTTACTTCTAAGCGAAGAACAAAAATACCTTCGTCGTGAGAATATCAGGGTCTTGAATCCCGTTCAGTCTCACGTGCACGAGCAGTAAGAGCTGCAGTTCACTATAACGGCCACCGGTGTCACTATAACACAGTTTCTGAACTCTGCAAACATCAACAGCCCCTTTAACTTAAACAACAGAACCTGATATTTTATTGAATGAAGTGCCTGTGAATCATTATTGTGTGTAACTACACGACCCTTGTAGCAATATCAAAGATGATAATATCACACTTACTCCCAAAAAAACGTAGTGTTGGTCAGTTTGGACGGCGCGATAAAACTTTTTTAATTATCGCTCCGTTTTAAGTAATGAGCTTAAATATGATTCTTCATTTTACTTCATAATTCAGATTCTCCTTCAAACTCCACAAAGCTATGCTTGTACCTCGGATTGTCCAGTGAATAATGTGCATAACTAATATATCAGATAATGACTAGATAAAATTACTTTGCTGTAACGAACAAATACACAATTGGTCAGGACTAAAATGTGAATCAATTTGGATTATGAATCATATGAAATCATCTTTATACATCAAAGAAGGTGATTTAGGTTTGTTTTAAATATGTTTTTTGTTATATTTGATAAAACTGAAAATTAAGATATCACATATTCATTATCCTGAGCTTGTTATGTTATAATAAGCTTATAAACTTACTGCACTTTTCATAACTCTTTCCGCACACTACCAAAAGTTTGGGGTCAGTAAGATTTTTTAATGTTAAATGCTTACATTGTGAAATATTATTACAATTCAAAATAGCTGCTTTCTATTGTAATATATGTTAAAATATGATTTATACCTGTGAATTTTCAGCATCATTACTCCAGTCTTGAGTCACATGATCCTCTAATATGAGGATTTGATGCTCAAGAAACATTTATGATTATTATCAATATTCAAAACAGTTTAACAGGATTTGATAAATAGGAACTGCATTAATTTAAAATTGAAACCTTTCATTATAAATGTGTTTACTGTCACTTTTGATCAATTTAAAAATTAAATAAAATCATGCTGACCCCAAACTACTGATCATCTTTCATCTCATCCACGCTCATGAACTCAGATGATCTTCCATTTGCAGCTCTGCGTTCATGAGCAAAAGGCCACAAATGACCCCAGATCAGCCGAACGGCCCGTCGCTAACAGTAATTGGCTGCTATTGCTGCGGTGTGAACGCATCTCTCCAGTGTCGGTCGAGTCGTTGACGCCTTTAAACGTCTGAAAACCAGTTCATCCAGAACAATGGAGCAGGATCATGAATGATGCATGATTATTACAATACTTAAAACCTTTGTTTAGTTTGATATCAGATGTACAGGAACACAAATCTTGCGATTTATTAATATTTGACACTATTTCCCCAGTTAAATCAGCATAGCTAGCACAAAGGTTCTGGCATGACGCATAAGTAGGATTTAAATAAGCACTATATATTCTGTATTTAATGGCATTTATATGTCATGGTAGTATTTTTGTACTACCTTTAATAAATTTACAAACTTTAATTACATTTTTGTATTTATTTTATTACTGTAATTTTGCAGGGAAGAAACAGCATTAGAGGAATGAGAATTAATGTTGAAAATAATGGGACGTAGAAAAATTAATTAAAAGTAAACGTTCAAATGCATTATTATAGTAATGAAAAAAAAAATGAAAAAAGAATTTTCCCCAAAAAAATGGTGGGTAGCTTTTTCATATTTAATTTTATTGTGTTCTATTTTAGTTTATTCTGTTTTATTCTATTCTTTGTTATTATTTTATTTTATTTTATTCTGTTGTATTATTTTTTATTCTGTTTTATTCACTTCTTTTTATTCTGTTTTATTTTATTCTGTTCCATTTTATTTCATTATGTTCAATTCTCTTCTTTTTATTCTGTTTTCTATTTTATTTCATTCTGTTTATTTAATTTGATTTATTCATGAGCAATTGTTCACCAAATGCCTAGGGTTGAGTTTCTTCAGTTCCCGTCCGCTCTATCTGTCTCTACACAGCAGCAGTTCAGTTCTGTTCAGTTCAATTCTGTTCAGCTCTGTTCAGTTCCAGTTCAATTCTGTTCAGTTCATTTCTGTTCTTTTCAGTTCAGTTCTGTTCAGTTCATTTCTGTTCAGCTCTGTACAGTTCTGTTCAGCTCTGTTCTGTTCATTTCAGTTCAATTCTGTTCTGTTCAGTTCTGTTCACCTCTGTTCAGTTCCAGTTCAGTTCAATTCTGTTCAGCTCTGTTCAGTTCTGTTCAGCTCTGTTCTGTTCAGTTCTCTTCAGTTCAGTTCTGTTCATCTCTGTTCTGTTCAGTTCCAGTTCAGTTCTGTTCAGCTCTGTTCAGTTCTGTTCAGTTAATTTCTGTTCAGTTCCAGTTCAATTCTGTTCAGTTCTGTTCAGCTCTGTTCAGTTAATTTCTGTTCAGTTCTGTTCTGTTCTTTTCAGTTCTGTTCATCTCTGTTAATCTCTGTACAGTTCTGTTCAGCTCTGTTCAGTTCAGCTCTGTTCTGTTCAGGTCAGCTCTGTTCAGTTCTGTTCAGCTCTGTTCTGTTCAGCTCTGTTCTGTTCAGTTCTGTTCAGCTCTGTTCTGTTCAGGTCAGTTCTGTTCATCTCTGTTCAGCTCTGTTCTGTTCAGCTCTGTTCTGTTCAGTTCTGTTCAGCTCTGTTCTGTTCAGGTCAGTTCTGTTCAGCTCTGTTCTGTTCAGGTCAGTTCTGTTCAGCTCTGTTCTGTTCAGGTCAGTTCTGTTCAGCTCTGTTCTGTTCAGTTCAGTTCTGTTCAGCTCTGTTCTGTTCAGGTCAGTTCTGTTCAGCTCTGTTCTGTTCAGGTCAGTTCTGTTCAGCTCTGTTCTGTTCAGTTCAGTTCTGTTCAGCTCTGTTCTGTTCAGTTCTGTTCAGCTCTGTTCTGTTCAGGTCAGTTCTGTTCAGCTCTGTTCTGTTCAGTTCTGTTCAGCTCTGTTCTGTTCAGTTCTGTTCATCTCTGTTCAGTTCGGTTCAGTTATGTTCATCTCTGTTCATCTCTGTTCAGTTCGGTTCAGTTATGTTCATCTCTGTTCATCTCTGTTCATCTCTGTTCAGTTCTGTTCAGCTCTGTTTTGTTCAGCTCTGTTCAGCTCTGTTCAGGTCAGTTCTGTTCAGCTCTGTTCTGTTCATCTCTGTTCTGTTCAGTTCAATTCAGTTCGGTTCAGTTATGTTCATCTCTGTTCATCTCTGTTCATCTCTGTTCAGCTCTGTTCAGTTATGTTCAGTTCAGTTCAATTCAGTTCAATTCAGTTCAGTAACCGGATGTGTGTGATGTTAGTTGGAAGCTGAAGTGGTTCAGATGGAAACAGACGAATGTTTTCAAGCACACAGACAAATCCACCAACGTCAACGTGCAAAAACACACTACAAACTCATTTGTCTGATTTTTATTCTAATATTCACTCTATAGATATCATCTTATGATCATTTATATTTCTCAGATCAATCTTTTTCTATGAAAACATCATCATATCAGTTGAATGTCTTGAATCGGTCCTCCTGACAGCCTGTGTGTTCACTGTCGTGTTTCGGTGCTGTGAGATTGACTTCCTCCCATTGTCTCGCTGTATATGTTCACGATCTCCATCATCTTCTGTGGGCTTCCCTGAGGACGACGACGCCGCTCTTGTGGATTACATTTCAAAAAAGCAAGGATGCATTTAGGAGGAACTGATGATTGACAGCCTCTGCTCACGCTGCTCGGACACTAATACAGTGTTTTCTACGCCTGTGAACGAAGTGTGAAACACAGGTTATGATCGTCCGCCCTCTCTCTCTTCAGTGTGTTTTACTACAGTTTTTGGGGGTCGTCAAAGAATAAATCATCTAAATGCAAGAGTTTGTAGCAACAAGATTTAAGATTATTATTATTATAAAGATTGATAATCAATATTTTATGAAACAAGCACATATTTTACTGACTAGGATTTGTTGAATATGTCTAATGCTGTATGAAGTTTAGGCTGTGTGTGTCAGGGTCTTTTGTTTAGTAAGAAATGCAGTAAATCTGAGTTAAGTTCAAATGTGTTTATGACTCTTTATTCTTTCTCAGCGTGGATTATGAACTGACCAGGAGTTGATATACACACACACACACACACACACATATGAAAAGAATGCAAAATACTGCATCCAATTAGGGTGTTCAACTCATGATCAGTTCATAATCCATATATATTTAATAGAAATAATAGAAATATTGTAAAATATATTGTACATGATAATAAAAATATATTATTATTATTATATATATATATATTTTTTTGTATTTATTATTTCCTGTTTGAAATGGGAAACAATCGCAGATTTCCAAGAGCTGAAATATGAGCAGAGTTTAAGGGAATGATGTTGGGTGTTTTCTGCACATTCCTGCATATGAAAGAGTGAGATTTGCCACAGGCCTCGAGGAAACACATATCTGATCTGCATACACACACATCTGATCTGCATGCAAACAAACACTGAATCGCTTCCTGCAAAACATGCATTTATGAAAAGAGCTTTTTCATCCAACGGCACTTATAATTCAGACAATGTTGGCAAAGTTACACTTTGTTATTGAGAAGCAATTTGTTATTCAGAAACATAATTGGTTCAGAACTTCATCTATAATAAACATTTTCTATTTATAAACAGCACAGATTTGTATTCTAAGTAGGGTACGGCGATTACTAGTCTAGTATTGGATAGAAATTTTAAATATTAATGATGCTAAATTACAATGAATTTAAATTTTGCTTACAGCAGACATAATACTAACCAAAAATGGGGAGAGAAAAATATAAATAAATCATAACTAGTCAAAATTATAAAATATTTTATTTAAAATAATTACATAAAAAGTTAATTTTAAATGCGTATATATTAATTACATTATAGATTAATGTAGATTCTGTTCATATTTTACAAACAATTACAGCGCTGAAAAACATATTTTTAAAAGTCAGAAAATGTATTTATGTGATATTTTATTAATTAAAAAATAAAATGACATTCAATAAAGTATTAAAAATAAATGCAAAAAATAACTTAAACCAGTTAAGATAGTAATAAATATGGTAAATGTGCACATATTAAGTGTCTAATGCATATACTGCATGAGATATTGCAGTGTTGGAAGATAATGCAATGGAAAACACAACAACTAATTTGTTAGAATACATACATCCATACAAAATAAAAACACACTTTTAATAAATAAATAAATAAAAGGTTTAGGTTAGATTCGGAAAAAATATCAGTCTACCGTTCACAATTAGATTGGAAGATATGGCATTTTCATGAAACTGCTGAAGACATATCTGCTAAATTATTACATGTAAAACTATAAGCAGAACTGCAAATCTGAGACATAGCTAATGAAATAAACTCGCACAAGTGCTTGAATTGTGAGTTTTGAATGAAAGTGTGATGACACACAGATGTGGGGGCCCTTATTGGCCCCTTGCAGTGTGGAGGAGGAGGGGTCTAGATCCTGTCATTGAGAGAGAGAGAGAAAGAGAGAGAGAGAGAGTTTGGTGGAGCTGCAGGTAAACGGATGTTTGTCAACAGGATCACTTCCCTCGTGACACACTAATGAGCAGATTCATTGATTACTGGAGCTTCAACTCAACACAGCTGTGTGTGTGAGAGAAAGAGAGAGTGTGTGCGAGTGTGAGAAGAACACACTCTCCGTTTGACGAGGACCCGCGTTTCCACACCAGCAACTTTTTTCAAACATTCCGTTTTATTTTCGAACATCCAGGATGAAGCCCAACAAAAGAGGTGAGATCCGTTCACAGGCGCGTGTGTGTGTGTGTGTTTGAATGGGGTTTTGCTGCACGTCTGTGATCGTGGCGTGATTTTCAGTCTGAGCGCGTGAGACGCAGATGTGCCTTTGATTCTCGCCTTTCATAATGCAGGGTTTGATTTTTACACACTAGGACTCGTTTCCGAAGAGCCTTTTCCATCTGTCCAGCGTTATTGACTCGCACGCGTTTGTTACATTGTATCATTGTGGTCTGATGACGTCACCGCGCGTTTGTTTGTTTGGTTTTTTCGCGCGCCTGCGGCCCCGTTTGTTTATTCGCGTCTGCAAACACACTTTTCCTTGGTCGTTTTTGTATTTTGTGTGAAATTCAAGCGTTTTCTAAACGTGAGAAAGTTGCCGTAAATGACGTAGATGTCATTCGGTGAGTTTTGTTTATTAGTATTTGTTTGTTTGGGGCCCTAGTGATTTGTTTGGGTCTGCAAATTGACTAATCCCATTCAAAACCAACATGCAATACGAAAATCAGGAAGACGGAAATGACGTCGTTGATCGAGGTCAATGAATCATTTGTTTCACATCTTTTATGTTAGATTAAGTCTAATAGTTTGGTTGATTTTTCTGAAGAAAACACGTGAAATTCTGAGTGCCAGTTTTTTTTTTTTTAATTCCACTAGTAGTTTAACACATGTACTTTTCGCAGTTTGTATAATGATTGTAATGCAGCTCTATGGTTCACTATTCATCCACGTGCTGCACAAGAAAAACACGTTTTCATTTTGTCAAACATTTGAAAAAACTGAAACTGCTGCAAACGATACGCAAAACGGTGATACGGATACAGTTGCAGACTGAAACATGAATGTCCAGACACACACACACAATCTGCTTTGTTAAAGAGGAACTCCCACATTTTTAGCTGTTCTTTAGGGCTTCAGGTTTCAGCAGGAGAAAGAAACCCTTGAGCTGCTGAAGTGTGTCTGATTCATGTGTCTCTGAAACACTGAGTTTAGCTGCTTTTCCCATAACCACACTGACTGCAGTTCCTGCCAAAAATACAGTATTATTTAGGCATTTACTGTGAGTGTTACTGTGGAAACTTGGTATTATCATCACTCAAGAATCGAGGAGGTTCATCCATTGTTTGAAGGAGATCTTATAATGCTGTTGTTAACAATATAAGTAACCATAATTGTTAGTAACAATTATTTTAAAGAGATTTATTTGAGGATTTAATTTAACCTGAAACTTCAGATTAGCATTTGAGGTGCTTGTCTAATGTTGAGGCGGCATATACTGTAGTTTTGGGGCCCAACGGCTATTTTAATGGCCGTGAAGTCTTTAATTTGATCATCGGGCTTTTGAGGAAGTTTATTCATTCATCTCTCAATCATCATTTTATTGCATTGCATTGATTTAAAACTACAGAGATTTGATCATAAAACTAAGCATTTAAATAGTTATTTGAAGATAATATAGTGTAACTGAGATTTATAATATATAGAGTTTTACTGAGAATTATAATGTGTGTGTTATGCAAGTATTTGTTATAAGATCTCATTGGGTTACATTGCAAGCATCAGAATTTAATCTTTTTGGCCATTTAAATATCAGCATCTGCACCAAATTGTATACAATTTAGGTGTTTTTTCTTCCATATTTGATCTGAAACCTGACGTATCAAATATGATACCCCCCAAAAAAAAATATATATATATTTTTTTTTCAAGAAATGGATATTTCATGTGTCATGTTCAGGCTTTACAGGGTTGTTATGTTTGTGATTAAATATTCAAATATGAATGTTTTAGCATCAGCATATGACACTATATATTGTTTACATGGTTGTATTATGGAGTCAACTGCAAGAATTCTTGTTGTTGTCTGCTTTATCTGGTCATAATGATTATCATAATAATCAGCAGCTAATGCTCTCATGATAATGTTCATTGTAAATGTGTAGAGCCCTCCTGTAGAGCAGCAGATAAGCTGTATTTCCCTCAGTTTGCGAGGGTGAAGGTGTGAATGGAGGAGCCGTTCACAGTCAATAGTCTTTTGAAGTGAGCCGTTTGAGTGCAGTCAAACGGTTTTATCTGCAGGACGCTTTTAAATGACTGACCGGGACGATTCAGGCGCAAGATAAGATTCTCTGTTCCTCAGAAATCAAGGTGTTCGTTTTGCTGCAAGTCCAAAAAAATACTTGGTTATATTTCCAGTGAAATGGGTGCATTCTCTTTTGTATTGTGCATTTTGCCAAATTCAGAAGATCATCTGCATATAGATAATGTGCATGCTTTGCATAGTGTACACAAATGTGGTATTTCTGGTATTTAAGGGCATTGTAAACTTTTGTGGCCTGCACTGAATCAGTTTAATTCCTGCTGTTTTTCTTTGAGACCAATAATGTTCTGTGGCCTTCATCTTCTCAGCTTTTGATGAGGATCAGAACGGAGACACCGAGTTTTCTGCCATGTCGGACAGTGACCCGTGTGAAGACGACGGTTACCCTCTCAACCTGTCCACCAGCGGCAGGAGAAGCGGCTCTTCCGCCAAACGCCGCCGACGTGGAAACCTCCCCAAAGAGGCGGTTCAGGTTCTGAGAGACTGGCTTTATGAGCATCGCTTCAACGCGTATCCCTCAGAGCAGGAGAAGCTGAGCCTGTCTGGACAGACGCATCTGTCCGTATCGCAGGTGAGCACTAAACGCGCTTTCCATGCAATTAGCACAAAACTGAAGCTTTCAAAGTTGCATGCAAAATTAAGAACTGAAAATTGTCCTTTACTTGCCTTCATATTTAAAACCAGTATGATATTTTCCATGCAATTACAATGAAACTGAATTTTCAAGCTCAAAAGGCAAAATTACCATGAAAGTATCAAATTGTAGACTTAAATTTGAAAACTGGCCTTCCTTGCCTCAATGTTGTTTCAAAGCCATGTGACAGGTTCCATGCAATTGCAATGAAAATGAAGCTTTCAAGCTAAAAAAAAAAGCTCAATTACCATAAAATCCTAAATTTAGACTTAAGTTTGGGTCTGTTCCTCACATCTATCACATGGCTTCAGAAGACCTGAAATATAGTGCACGAACCTATTCATTTGGTTATGAATGTCAGTTGTGCTCGAGAGCATGTTTTTGCCAGAAAGTGGACCAGCCCGAGTCAATAGTCGAGTATGAGGAATATTCTCTTTCCAAAATTGTTCTTTTGTGTGCGTGAGTCTTTTGATCCACTCTTCACTTTTACATTTGGCCGAAAGCTTCAAAGACTGAGACTTTCTCACACAGCCTGTGCTGTGTTTTGTCCTTGAGCGAGAGCTGAGGTGTTGTCAGAGCGCAGGAATGCGGGCGGCGAGGCCTGTGCTGCATATTTCCTCTGGTCTCCATTAGAGCCAGCTGTCTGTCTGACACAGCGTGCGCTTCACTGCCGAGCCAACAGGGGGCGCCGTGTTAGGATCCAAAAATTTACCCTATACCAAGAAATATTAAAGGGTTAATTCACCCAAAAATAAAAATCCTGTCATTAATTACTCACCCTCATGTCACTCCAACCCGTAAGACTTTTTGATGAAATCTGAGAGATTTCTGTCCCTCCATTAGACGGCTGCACAGCTGACACTTTAATGCTTCAAAAAATTTGATTAAACCGCTAAATTCATTTTCATTCAATTTCGTTTTAGATAAGGCTCTTTCTCTCTATTCAATCCTAGAAAATCTAGACATATCAGGGCATTTTGTGTTTTGCAGGCCTGGAAAAATCTTGGGAATTGATGAAATCGTAAATGTTCATGGAAAATACAATTTCTATAGTCTGTTTCTAGTTAGTTTTAAAGTATTTCATTGTTAGAAATGTGTCGTTTTTATTCGATTAGATTGGAAAACGTTTTGTCTTATGAAAACGTATCCATTTGAAACCCTTATCCAGTCATCACAAAGGACTGGAAATAATTATGGAAATTATTGGTCAGAAAGTGCAGAAACTCACAGAGTTATGCTAATTAAAATTCACCATTTAGTCAAATTTATTTGTATAGCGCTTTTAACAATTGTTTCAAAGCAGCTTTACAGAAAACCATGTTTACAATATCTTCATGCCTTATAGTAGCATTTAGCAGATTAGAACTGGGCAATAATATACAGTAGTTCATCTGAAGTGGATCAAAAAAGTTCATCAAAGTTGTCTTAAAGGGATACTCCACTTTTTTTGGAAATAGGCTCATTTTACAACTCCCCCAGAGTTAAACTGTTGAGTTTTACCGTTTTTGAATCCATTCAGCCGATCTCCGGTTCTGGCGGTACCACTTTTAGCATAGCTTAGCATACATCATTGGAGTTGACAAGACCATTAGCATTTCTCAAAAAAAAATGACCAAAGAGTTTCGATATTTTTCCTATTTAAAACTTGACTCTTATGTAGTTACATCGTGCACTAAGACCGACGGAAAATGTAAAGTTGCGATTTTCTAGGCTGATATGGCTAGGAACTATACTCTCATTCCTGCGTAATAATCAAGAAACTTCACTGCCGTACCATGTCTGCAGCAGGCGTAATGATATGACGCAGCGCCTGAAAATAGTTCCGTTGTGTTGAAGGAAGGTGGCCTATTTTCAGGCGTTGCGTCATATCATTACGCCTGCTGCACTCATGGTACGGCAGTAAAGTTTCTTGATTATTACGCAGGAATGAGAGTATAGTTCCTAGCCATATCAGCCTAGAAAATCCCAACTTTACATTTTCCGTCGGTCTTAGTCCACGATGTAACTACAGAAGAGTCAAGTTTTAAATAGGAAAAATATCGAAACTCTTTGGTCATTTTTTTTTGAGAAATGCTAATGGTCTTGTCCACTCCAATGATGTATGCTAAGCTATGCTAAAAGTGGTACCGCCAGAACCGGAGATCGGCTGAATGGATTCAAAAACGGTAAAACTCAACAGTTTAACTCTGGGGGAGTTGTAAAATGAGCCTATTTCCAAAAAAAGTGGAGTATCCCTTTAAGAGAAGAACGGTTATTGTTCAAAATTCATGTATAACTTTGATTTAAAAAAAAAAAAAAAAGGTATTGATCCACTCCGGGGCATAAACATAGCCATTATGTTAAGACTGTGTCTTAAAGGGGTCATATAATGGTACATGCACTTTTTCAAGTTGATTGTACTGAAATGTGTGTTGGCAGTGCCTGTACACAACCATCATATAATGATAAAAATCCATCCAGTGGTTTTGTTTTAATCTCCTTATATGTTTTCCCCTGCCTCAAATCGAGCCGTTCGACCGTGTGACGTCACACGGTCGGACGCCCCTCCCGCGATTGTTGATTGATAGGCGCGTTTCAACACAGACCCGCCCTCGCTCGTGAGAGCTGTCAATCATAGTCTGCGCGGACCGGCGCGGTCATTGTTGATATGCTGGAGCACTGTCTATGAGCAGAATGGCGTCTAAGCGATTGTGGTGTTCTGTTCTTGCGTGTAATAACGAACAGTCATTTTAATGTTCCTAAATCCTAACCGCTGAAGACGCAGTGGCTGAGTTTGTTTTCGAAGGGAATTTTCCCCACGAGCAACGTCAATCAATGCTTTCATGTTTGCGCGAATCATTTCTCAGCAGACTGCTTTATAAACGAGGGTCAGTATAAAGCTGGATTTGCTAAGCAGCTGCTCCTGAATAAAGAATCGGTACCAGATATTCGTGTTCCTGCTGAACCTCTAGAACAACTGAAGTGAGTGTAACGTTTTATTAAACTTTATATTAATATTTATATCTTTGCAAATCGCTTCACGATGAATGAGTCTAAGGTTTACACTCTGGCTACATTACTGCATGTTTTCTATGTACGACGTTCTCCATATAATTCATAATCCCACGTTTATAATGAACAACACGTTATGGTATTGTGTTACAAACGTGTACGCACAGAACAGAGGGGCGGAGTCAGCAAAGCTCATGATCATTTAAAGTCATATGCACTGAAACGGCGTGCTGAAAACAGAGCTGTTTTTGACCAGGTAAAATAAGTGTTTTCTTACAATACTAATGAGAATTTTTAATTAAAGTATATTACAAACTTTTAATTTAGACCCTAAAGAATGATATTAGCTTGTACAAAAATGGCATTATATGACCCCTTTAAGAACTAGTTTGACCAACTAGCAGTTAGTTAGGGGTAATCAGTCTTACTGTTCGGTATCAAATTAGACCAATGTACGTTTTTATGTAACTAACTTTAAAAAGTTATGAACAGTCTTGAAGAAAGAAATTGGATGATTAACTTGTAAGACTAGTCTTAGCCGTTTAGGCAACTCGCCGCAGATGTTAACTACTGTAGTTAAGGTTTTGCGATGATACAAGCAATCAAGCATTTGAGATTGGCGCCCTATATACAAGTGTGCTGTATGTATGCGTTTAAACTTGATGGCATTTTAAGTTTCTAAAGCTCTTTAATCTTGTTTTTAGATCTGTAACTGGTTCATAAACGCCCGCCGGAGGCTCCTGCCGGACCTGCTCAGGAAAGACGGCAAAGACCCCACGCAGTTTACAATGTCTCGACGCACCAGCAAAACCGACAGATCCGCCTCCCCAGAAAGCCCCGCCTCTTCGACACGCCCCTCAGTCATTTGCCCCGCCCCAACGTTGGACTTGAGGCTTTTGGGTAACACTGCGACTGCAATTTTGGCCGGAGCCGGTTGCTTGTCGTCGTCCGGCAGTCAAGATGGAGGCGTTCAGGCTCTGATGCAACTGGACACACGAGGTCTGCTGAGGCGAGAAGGTCTAACTGGTTTCCGGAGTGAAGATCATTACCTGACGACTATCCCGTTCGCTTCTACCTCTGTCCCGACCCTGGGAGCGGTGAGCCCGAGCGGGGTCCTGTTCAACACGCCACCTCCTACCCCACCGGAGCTGTGCGCGCAAGATTTCAGCGATCTGAAGCTTCTAGTGGACGCGGCCCTGCAACGCGCAGCTGAGCAAGAAAACTGCAGACAGAAAGAGCAGCCGATGCAAGCGAACGGACCTTCGAATGAAAGTGAGCTCGTCCAGAATGGTGATTTTGAGACCATTTTGACTTCCACAGCAGAAACGCCTTCAAGGGACGAATCCAATCCTGAACCAGCCTTGATTGAGAGCGCAATATTACCAGTATCAGTTCCTGTCATGAGCCGCTCTTTTCCAGGCCTTCCCGTGGATCTAAGCTCAGCCGGCGTCTCCGATGTCCTCGGAGAGAATGTTACAGAATCTGCTAGCTTCACGTCTGCTGGGATGTGGGGCGTCCGGCAACCCGGTCCACTTGCGAGCACGTGGGTTTCTCAGTACGTGCATAATACGGTCACGGAAGCGGTCAACTGATCGCTGCGAAAAACTCAAGCAGACCAACTGACTTTGAACTCTTTTTGTTTGCTATTTTTGTTGGAAAACTGGGTGCTTTTAGTACACGCCCTTGGAGATCATTGCTTGATACTCAAAGAGCCTCTTCACCGATGGATTTAGGAGTGAAGCTTCTCTATGAACACCAGGATGTATTTTTAAGACCTTTTTAAAACTCTTTGTAAACCAAAACCTCTTACCTTTAACTATATGAAGTTTATGGGCATCCATAAAATCCTCTTCGAGAATAATCCAGCATTTCAGACTCCGGGATCTTCGAGACCAGGTGTGCGTCCTTTCAGGCAGAAACACCAGCCGACCTGTACATCTCAGGTTTACCAGCAACAGCCAAGAGACTTGCGTTTGAACGTTTGTTAGTGGCCTTACATCGCTCCACATGTAGTTGCTCTTGCCTGTTTGCATCAGCATGCTTTACTTACTTTTTGTGATCTGTAAATGCGAAGACCAGCATGCAGCGTTTAATAATGTCTGTTTAGGAACCAAATATGCTCTCTTAGATTTAATACTTTGCTCGGATTTTGCCTGAAAGCCGCTCTTTCCCAATAGTGTGTTTTTGTCATATTTCCTGCACTTTATAGTCTCATTTTACCTCTTAGTCATTATTTCAGAACCATTTATCCGGTCCCGGTCAGAATAGTATCCGAGAGAGCGGTGTGACGTGTGTCTGTGCTGCGGCCGGTCGTTGGGAAATTGATCGTTCTGCAGAGATCATCGCTTACGCCTCGTGTCTGTCTGAGATGTGGAGGCGAGGTCGTCTCAAAGACAGAGCTGACATTGATTTTCTTCAGTTCTCATGTAACGTGAGCATAGGGCTGTAGCTGAGATGGTTATTGTTCTGATGGGTCAAGTAGATGATCGGCTTTCTCTAACACGATGTAGAGGGGAGGGATACAAATGTTAGTGAGTGAATTTAGACTGAAAGTGTTTTTTTGACACTAAAGGAGTTTTGTGCATTTCAAAGATGAACTTGTTTGTACCTCTCAGAGATGAACTGAAGTGTTCCTTTCTTGCTCATAATCTGTGAATGTATCTTGAGAACTAACAAATATCATTTAGAAAATTATTTCCAGTGTCTTCATGAGTGATTTTCCTCAGTCTTTCTCTCTTTTTGGACACTAGAGTATCTAGATGGATTATCATTTTATGCTTGTAGTTTCCATGAAACTGAGAACATGTACAGATAGTCAAATTAGTCTTTATAGTAATGATGATTTTAACCTTTTAGTCTTGATGCGGTTCACATTATTTCAGTTTACTCTTGCTCACGAACGTGCCATAATTCTGATTAGTTTTTCTCAATGAGGTCAATGCAAAGGTCAGAGGTCATGTACTGTACATGTTACTTCTCATTGGTTTTCAGTGTGTCTCAGGTTTGTTTATTGTAGTTTTCACTTGACTTTTCGTTCTCGTGGGTTCGAGTCATTTTAATGTTACCTCTCTGACAACACAAAGGGAGTTTTTAATCATTTCTGATTTAAGGAATCTGTATTTTTAAGCCACGTCTGAGCTGAATATGAGAAACCGACTGTCATATTGTAGCGTCATTATATTACAGATCTAACACCTCAAACCTGTGATCATTCGGTTAGTTACTGGAACAGTACGGTCTATATTTTTTTGTATACTCTATTTTTTCACCAGTTCAGAAAGACCAATATTAATATTCCTGGAACTGTATTATTGTTATTGCAAAATGGGTCTTCTAGATGAGAATGTGAAACGTGTAAATGTCATTCAGGTTTTTGGCCGGCATAGACTTGCTTTTAATGCGTGTGTACATCAAATGTGTGTATCTCTCTCCTGTATGACCAAATACATGTTTGTTTGTTTTTTAAGATGGCATTTGTGCCTTACCTGCTTCCTTAGAAAACCTTTGGACTAGTCTGTGCAATATCTGCCTTAAACATTTGACAGATTTTATTTGATGTCCTTTTGTTCAAATATTACAGAGAAATAAAAGCCTCATTTTTAATATGTCTGAAGTCATGGAGAAATTAAATTCCTTTGTTTTCAGCAATTAGGAGCAAATATCCAGAAACGACCCAGAAATGCACACATGATTTATTTCTCTGTGGTGTGAGACCATCTTTATTTCAGTATAAAATACGTAACTTTCATATGACGGATGACTTCTTATCTGAGAGCTGCCAAGTGTAAACACACATTTTATAAGCCAGATATTCACCAGTTTGATGGGGAAATATAAGTTAGAGTATCACTGAAAATCCTACACATCCCAAAGTCTGAGGCCATCTAACTTTAAAGTGTTTAAGGCAAGACACTACATGTGAATATAGGGTAAAAATGTTAACGAATATAAATCGATATACTTTCTCCAGTTTAGTAATCGCAGAAAATTAAGACAATTGTTTCATATTAAAATGCTGTGTTTAAATATGCATGATATATTTAAATATGCGCTGTACATTTCCAGAACATAAATCTGAACGTTGGATAAAGCCCAGATCAAAATTCCGGTTTAATTTTATTGTCACAGAGTCAGAGGGGATTTTGGGTTTCTCTTTTTATTACTCCATAATTAGGAAAATAGTGTCGACAGAAAATAAAATAAATGGTTACCATGTTTTTATGAATATGTTATTTAAATCAGTGAATGATATACGAACGAACCGCTTAGTAAAAATGTAATATATTAAATATGTATGTTTTCTTTTCACTAGTCTGAAAGGATATATTATGGACCAGTGGCTAAAAGACAACGGCTGCGTCTCAATCCGCTCCCTAGGTCGTGAACCAGTAGGCTAGGCTATCAAGTACTCTAATCCGGGATCCGTTAAGCATCGACGCACCCTGGATTTCACTGCATTGTGGGACTCTTAGGGATTGAATGTTTCAATGCACTGCAAGGATTTTGCGATTGAGACGGCCATTAAAACGGCCGACTCCCTGATTGAGACGCATCCAAGGGTTTTGCCTGTAGTGTCTTGCCTTATGTCTCTGTTATCGGTTAGTATCGTTCAACGAGAAGGACATGCTGAGAATCCTTAAATGCACACAGAAAAATAACTTTGCACTATATCTAAGGTTTATGGCATCTCCAATGCAATAGTTTGCACAGATCGAGCCACAGCTGCTTCAAACACACTGAAGATATTTTATAAGCCCCACATAAAAACGCAAAATACATTGCAAACCATCTACAATGTATAATCTAATCGTGCATATAGAGATATAATTACTTGTTTTTTTAGATCACCATATGAAATGCTGTTTTCCACAGTGGATGTTCATCGTGTGTGTGTGTGTAATGTGCTCTGATCGGCTACATGTCGTCTTTGTCCTTGGCTCCGTGTTTGAGAATCCGGGTGAACTCGCCATAGTTAAAGTTTCCCTTTTTGTCGATGGGAGCCTCTCTGTAAAGCTCGTCCACGTCTTCATCTGTGAAACGATCTCCCATGGTGGTCAGCAGCTCTCGCAGGTGATCTTCATGAATGAAACCTGCGCAGACAAGAGTCAAACATGCAGTCAGAGCTAGAACACCTTTGAGTTTTATTATGTACAAGATGGGAACTACATTTGAAAATTGAGGTATTTTAAAATTATTTTGCTGGTATTTGTGTTTTGTTTGCATCTGCATTTGAAGAAATTATTTCCATATCTTATGTTTACTGAAAAAAGTTACATTTTTAAAGTTATAGTAGGCCTATGTCATTTAATTTATACACTTCTAATGCAACAATACATTTAGGACTACATTTGATTATAAAAATTAATTGTATTTGTTTTATCAAGTCATATGTTCCTTTATTTTCATATTATTACATTTATTTATTTGTTTGTTTGTTTGGGCTGGGTTAAAAATATTGATTTCTCGATTTGAATCGATTCTAATTCTTTAATCCCAAAAATCAACCTTTCAGTGTTTAAAAGAAACACTCGAGACAGGAGTAGCGAACTTCACTCATCTTGTTGACTCATTCCCTTCCGTTCTTCACACATTACACAACACTTCAAAATAGTAGTCAACAATGTTCAATTCTACTTATGAACACAACAGAATTGAATCGAATTGCTTGTGAATCGAATTGTAATGCGTCAATGCCCAGCCCTATTTATTTATCATTTTCACAGGTTTGGGCCTCCATACTGTGAGACCCTCCATGAACTCTTTATATTAAACCAGTGTTTGTTTTACCAGATCCTTCCTCATCGAAGCAGGCGAAAGCGTTCCTTATCACGTCCTCCGGGTCGGTTCCATTGAGCCGTTCTCCAAACATGGTGAGGAACATGGTGAAGTTGATGGGACCTGGTGCTTCACTCATCATTCCCTCCAGGTAATCATCAGACGGGTTCTTACCTGAGCACAAACACACCAAAGGCAATGTCATTCGATAATGATATTCATAATATTATGTCCCTTCCTCTCTGTCAGACTTACCCAAAGAGGCCAGCATGTCATGCAGATCCTCTTTATCGATGAATCCGTCTCGGTTTTGGTCGATCATGTTGAAGGCCTCTTTGAACTCTTGGATCTGTGACTGGTCAAACATGGCAAACACATTTGAAGTGGCTCTCTGTGGCCTCTTCTTAGTGGTTTTCCCCTTCGCTCGCTTGCTGGACATGTTGACGGTGTTTCAGGTCTATGGAAAGAGCAGAAGATATTCTTTAAAATGTCTGCAAGCGACAATTAAAGGGTCCAGAGTCAATAGTGGCCTTTGCCTCGTTTTACCCATTTCACTTGAACAGAAGGAGCTTCAGCTTACCCTCGAAAAAAGATAATGATGGTGCTGTATTTGCAAACATTGACCCAGAGGCCTCTGATATTCTTTCTGATATCGCCAGTCCAGCCGAACCGTATGGATTAACCATCAATATTGACAAAACTAAAATCAATGGCATCAACGGCAGAAGTCTAGAATTGGTCTAGCTTCTGCCGCCTTCGAATGGTGCTTCATTATGGTCAAAACAAAAATTCATATTTTTCAGACGCATTATAATACTTATCAGTATTATTACATGGATCTGAAACAGGGACACTGCTAAAAGTCCCCCTGTAGTCAATAATTGTATCCATTAAAACTCATATTTCATCACCAAAATAACATATTTGAACGTTTTTTCCTTGAAAAAAAATGTAACTCAACACCATTGCCTCATTTAGTATGCGTGGTTCTATGAATATGCAAATGAGACCCGCCTCCACTCACTCACTCAGCTCAGAGATCCACTGGTTGACGATCACTCGTTGATCTGATTGGTTACAAGGTCGTTTGTGACATCAGAAACACCAGCGATTTCAACCCGTGTTTTTGAGACTGTCTTTGGTTCACTGGAGTTTTAAGGAGAAAATACTCAGCAATGCTGTCGACTTATGAACTTACACATGGTTTGTCTTAAAGCATATTAAAAACACCACATCGACATATAAACAACATTAAAAGCTTGATTTTCACCACAAGGGGACTTTAAATAAACTGTGTTCCAAATACGTTGTCTGCGATGAACACTAGATGTCTTTATATATGAACGGCTTCGAAATGACAACATCAGACTGAGGTGTGGGAATCAGCCAACAATGGAAGAGAGAGATCCAACAGTCCAGGCCGCAGTGGTTGGTCACGTATACCGAATGAACAAATGACGTATACCACATCGACTACTTGCGAACTGGAAGGTTCATTAAATGGCGCCCAAAAAACCTGGGCAAAACAGATTGAGGCCTTAAAAACAAACCACTTAGCCTTCCTGATGCCAAATAAGGTCTGTGGTGAACACAAGCTTCAGATATTTTCACATTTCAGAAAACATTCAAAAGTAACATTCCCATAATGTTTGCAAAATGGAATGTTCCCTTAACGTTCGCATAACTAAGAAAAAAATGTTTCAAACATTTTAAAAAACAGAACTTTTTGAACATTCAGAAATAACGTTATCATAGCTTAATGGGAATGTTAGCAAATCATTCTTAGAACATATTTTATCTCCCAGAAACACTCACATAAGCAGAACTCGGCAGGAGTGTAATGAGGCTTTGAATACGAGGATTTATAGACAGACCAGAAGTCACTTTAAGATGTGCCATTTAAGACTGATTTATTTAGCTTTCGCCCTTTACGATTCACTCCAAAGTGTTTGTGATTAAGGATATTAGTCAGCTTTGATAGGGAAACATTTTTCTCTCTGTAAACAGCAGATTCACTGAAGGCCTTCACAGCCATTAGCATCAGAGATGTTACAGATGGTTTCTGTTGAGTCCCATGTGAACAGCAGCACATTTCATAACCATAACATTTATCAATACATCATTCATTGTGAATGTGTAATTCATGTTATACGGAAGACCACAATCAGCTGACATTCATTTTCATATCAGTGTTTTTATTGCTCTTGCATTCATAGTTTCTCAAAGTCTTCTCAATAAAGTAACCAAATGCTGTGGGATGATCTATGCATTCTGTCTATATCAGGCCTAGTCCATATGCAAACATCCTTGTTAATCCTGCCGTCTTCATAACGAAGGAATAAAACCCAGCTACCATCTTGTTTTGCTAACATTTCCAGTAAGTTATGAAAAACGTTATTTCTGAATGTATGTTCAAAATGTCTAGTTTTATGTTCTTGTGTGAACTTTAAGGGAACATTCCATTTTAGAATTCTGCAAACATTAGGAGTTACTTTTGAATGTTCTAACTTCTCTGAACATTCTTAAACTGCTAGTAACATTTAAAAAAAAAAAAAAACGAACCTCCACATAAAATGTTTCATAAAAAAAGTTCCATGATGTACAAATAATGTTTTTGTTCTAAAATTTTGATAAACATTAATAAAGACCATAACTTTGAACGAACGTTCTATTAACATTACTGGAAGAACGTTTGCTCATAACCTTGCTCATAACGTTCTGAGAAAGTTAGATTACGTAGCTGGGAAATCGTCTTATTATGAATAAGGCAAAAGTCTAGTATCTCCAATAATTGCTTATTTTTGGTGTAATATTACACTATTCTCTTCTTCAGGTTTTCATGGCCATGGGACCCACATTTTCTCATTAAGCCTAACCCACATTTTTAGGAATTTGACCCAAAGTAGCCTATTTATTTATCTATACACATGGCCTAGTACAGTCCCACTTTTAAATTGTGAGAATATCACTAACACTGATGAATAAACAGTAGGCTAGCTATAAGGTAAGGCCAAATAGCAGTCCCAGTAGATAATAGGCTACAATAAATTCAGTAAGTTGGTATGAGCCAGCACTGCAGTCTTCCAAAAATATAGAAAATAACACAAAGTGACCTTTGCATTAAGGTTGTGGAGACTACATTTACCTAGCCTGGCTTTCCCCATACTGCCTTTGCGCAGCGCGATTTTATTCACGCTGCATTCAATGTCAATGAGACGTGGTCTGACGTTAGCCAGGCTAACATGGTCAATGCACAATTGTGTTAATAAAACACACTTATCCTGGTGAATAGAAGGATACCTGCAAGCAAAACCTACGACCAGTTACGTAGGATAATTTGTTGGTACTTTTTGACTTTACTACTAGTGACAACAACTACGACGTTGCGATTTGCGCGGGCAATTGAAGAGTGCGCGAGCAGGAGCACCGCAACTGCTGACAGGAGAGGACAGCTCGTGTTTTCTGAGGTGAGAGACTTTTTATTTCGTAACAAATTACAAATATAACGTTAGATTAATGACATTGACATATAGCCCGACCGCAGATACGGAATCAGTAACCAGTTTTTATAGACACTGGCAGTTAAAATCAGCTCCGTAATACGCAATACGCCCCCAACGGACGACGTACTACAGAGTGAAAAGCGTCGGAAGCGGGTTGTTGCCAACTATTTTCAAAGGAAAGTAGCTAACGCCTTCCCTAAAAGTCGCTAAATGTCGCTAGATGACGTCATACGTCAATTAGCATATTAATTACGTCATCGCGACGTACTTGCGTTCTGTCAGCCTAGTGCGTTTTCTCTCTAAATGAATGCTCTATTTAATATAATATAGCCGAATGTCAAATAAAGCTGTTCTCATTTCCTATTTTGTTGTTGTCAGACAATAGAACGAGTAGCTATAATATAGTGAATGATTACATTTTTTATAGGCCTATGTGGAACATTATCTGAATTGAGAGAGTTAGGGAACCGGATGAACTAAGCTATGTGATATTGAGTGTTACAAGTAATAAGCACAAGAAAATAAATAAAATGAAAATGGTCAAACTAAATTCTTTAAATATAAAACAAAAGAAAAGCAGATAAGTAATCAGTCCGTGGAAAAACACTGCTCATTCGCGTCTGTCAGCGGCCGTGCGCTCCTCTCTGCCATTCACTGAACAGGGGAGACGCAGCTATAGAGAGTGACGACAGGGAGGAAGCAAGAGGCTTGTTTGAGATGAGCAAAATCTGCGCAGAACCGATCACCGGTGATCAGCGCGAGATGCATGCCGGTTAGAAATGTGTCCGAGTGCGGTCCACCTTGCTCTGATGTCATGCTGAGGTGTGTCAAAAAACTCTCGCGACCGCAAGGCGCACGTGTCGGATTCTGCAGTCGCGCGCAGTTGCTCTCCACCGACTGCGCTGATCAAAAGCATGATGGGAAACGACTTGCTGACGGCACAGCTTAATGCTCATTGGTTTAAACAACCGTGATGTATTGTTCTCTTTTAAAATGTTTGATTTTAAAACTCTGATAGGCTATCATGTTTTATGTGTATAGATTATGTGTGGATATCCCCAAACTCTCTGACAGTGCGATCTATGTGATGTAATTTTTAAAAAAAAAATAAAAATAAAAACACATATCTGTAAAGAAAAAAAATGATTCATAAACATATAGGCCTATTTAAAATGGAATTAAATGAGTACTTTGGGTGTCTTGTTCATTATATTTATTTTCATATTCAAGCAACAAAACTTAAAATACATCCAGTTTATTAGCAACACCGTGCACGAGTGTGAATCCCGCGATATCCGCCTTTGATCTCACAGGTGTCAGATCCACTGCGAGAAGCGAGATCTGTCCGGCTTGCCTGCGCTTTTTTCACTCCTCCTCTCACTGCAGCCGCCTACTCTCGACTACATTTCAGGCGAGGCAAGGCGCATCTCAAACAAGCCTAAGACCTCGCGCTCGGAGGACAGTACTGGCAACATTTGGAGGTTACTGAGGTTTGTCCAAAAAGTCGCTAAAATTGTCGCTAGTCGCTTTTTTGAAAAAATGTCGCTAAAGGGGTCTGAAAAGTCGCTAAAAATAGCGACAAAGGCGCTAAGTTGGCAACACTGCAGCAACGTTAGCACGCTAGAACAAAAATGGCGGAGAGATTAGAAAGGTTGATTCTGTCAGTTCTGTATGATCTCTCTGATGAGGAGGTTATAGAGATATTAATAGGAAGGCTGCTGCGTGAGGAAAGTTGCTCAGGACGTTGACATGTCAGGTCGGCTAAAAAATGTGATATAGTGGTATAATTTTTTATACCACTATATCACATTTAGTTCGATGTCTGCCTACAATTTGATTGTATTAACTGCCCTAATAACGTTAGCAAATCATGAAAATAAAAAAATGACATAACTTAACTTTTAATAAAATAAATAATAATTTTATAACGATAAGAATTCAGGTTTGTTTATCAGTATCATAGCAACGCTAACTTCCGCTGGAATTGTCGGATAGGAACCGTCCGTAGCTTTTCGCAAGAGTTAAATTTTTTAAACGCATCCGGATGACCAACGGACACGATTTTCTTCGCACCGCACTCGGTCGGACCCGTTTCGGACCTATTCGCATGCGGTCTGCGAATCTCCATAGGAAATGAATGACTTCCGGTCGTTTCGGAGCCGTATCGGAGCTGATTTCAACTGCCAGTGTGAAGGCGGAGCCTACTTGAAGTGCGTCTGACAGAAAATTCAGCAGCTTTTACGCACGTCTTTCAGAATAAAACTCTTGCATCAGTAAAACATTCAGAATTTTAGTTGTTGTTGTTTCTTTGACTACACACTCTGCGACCCACTCAAATCATGGACAGTTGAGAAACACTTCTCTATTTTAAACTTTCTGACTGCATTATCCCTGGCTATCCTGTGGGTATGAGGTATAGGACTAGAATTTATGTAACTGATTAAGTGCTTATTTTAAGATGTGTGTGTGTCAGTGTGTGGCCCGGGTAAACTGTAATTTATGAGGACAATATGCCCTAAATATACACAATATCCGAAATTCTTGTCCTTGTGGAGACATTTTTTGGTCCCCATGACCATGAGGAAACAGCTTATAAATCATACTAAGTGATGTTTATTGAAAATGTAAAAATGCAGAAAGTTGTGTGTGATGGGTAGGTTTAGGGGTATGCTTAGTGTAAGGGGATATAATATACAGTTTGTACAGTATAAAAATCATTATGTCTATGGAAAGTCCCCATAAACCATGTAAACCCAACATGAGTGTGTGTGTGTGTGTGTGTGTGTGTGTGTGACAGCATCATCAGAACGCAATGTCCAGCTCGACCACAGGATTAAATGCAGGAATTTAGAAACAGACCGGAGCAACTGCCTGAAGTCCATCAAACGCTCATCCCTGCGAGACATTTTTATGCCCTCATTTGGTCTCAATATGCTGAATAAAATAAGACAAAATCGGTGGGTTTTTAATTGGATAAATTGGGTTAAACTCGGGTTTAAATATTGTTTTAAATGTCAATCATTTTTTTTCTTTTCTTTCTGTGTCCTCAAATTCAATGTCACTTTCCATCCTGCTACTTTTTCAGGGAGAGAAAAAAAAACACTTTAAAAGGACTCAGGAAGTGACATCATCATGTTGGGAAATCAGCAGCACAAACATCATCAGTAAGTATATAATCGATGGATTGCATGAATTCTGTTGTGTTTGTTGGTTTTTCTCTCTAAAACCTGTTTAAATGACACAAATCATCATAAATGAACTTCAAGTTGATGTCCTAATGTACTCTAACTCTCAATCCCTCGCTTTAGCTGTTGTGAACACCCTGTCACATCCTCCCTTCATTTGTTTGTTGCTTCTGAAACTGGATTGGCAGAACAGGCCGTCCAGTGATATAGCTTCACGAAAACTTGTGCAGTTTAACAACAGTGAGGTTTTGTCACACTCTGAATAAAGACAACACTATAATCTAAAACAAACATGTAGTTGCTGATTTCTGTTAATTATTTTCTTCTGCAATCATTTCAGGTCCTGTCCTCCAGCCAATGGTTATGTCATGGGTCTGACCTCTGACTTTTGACCTCACAGCGCACTAACAAAAAAGCCAATTGCTGTATCCCAGATGAAGCCAAGTCACAGCTACATGCAAAGAAACATTATTCTCTGAAGTTTATATGAGTTATGACCATCACTGAGGAGGACAAAACTCCTGGATCTATAACAGAAATGCATTAGAAAGCACAGCATTCACTCACTGGACACTAAAAGAAAGCATTCAAATGTCCAGATCCTTTGCTCTGCGGTATAAGAGATGATCTTGGATCAGTTTTAGCTCCATAACTCCCAACATACGTCACCAGCTCCATCTAGATCTTTCCTCAGTGCCTGCCTAAATTCATCCACAACTTTTGCGGAAAGCCTAAGACTTCTAAGCACACGAAACCAAACCAAATACAATTCACTCACCTTTGCTACAGCTGATAGATTGTGGTCTTGTGTCTGTTGTCTTTGTGTTGGAGAGTGAGACAGTTACACTTACGGGACACAGAAGTTTCTTCAGAGCATCAGCTCGAGTAATGCGCCCCTCCCACTTTACTCTCAGCCAATCAGAGCTCTCCGTTCTCCCAGACAGAGCCGGCCCACAGCAGGGATTTACCATATAAGGGCAAAGAATGCTCAGCCTGTCTTTGTGTTGAAGGCACACAGAGAACGAGAGACCCGGAGGAATCAACATGAAATGACAGGAAAAGAGATAAGCTGCCTTATTTAGAGAGAACTGGCCTCGCATCATGAGGGATGAGTGCGTTTGTGTACATTCCTTAAAACCCCTGGTGTAACATGCCTTGGAGCGACAGTGATCTGGCCAAATCTACTGGAACTCTGTTCCCTGGATAACTCTGTTTATATTAAATAACTCTCACTTTTATGCATGACGGTAGTTTAGTTATTGTCTTCCAGGGCCGTTAAGTTTGACATGAGCCATGAACCACATGAGAGAGAGTTATTATTATTTTTATGGAAGTTATTATCTTACTGCTCTTGGAATAGGTCTTTTATATCCATCATTAAAGCTGGAATTAATTACCATTTACAGAGTGTGTCTTTACAGAGTGTCTAAACACTGAAAATATGATGGTGATTGAGCATAAGCACAGCAGTTATAGATTTTATTTAATGCTGGGATACACATTATTAATAAACACATGACATAATCGCTGTGAGGACATTATGATTTTTTTTCGTCAGTTTGATTGACAAAAGTAATTACTAGCATATGTTATTTCAGATCTCTGAACAATATACATTTCGACAAATGCCATGTGTGACAAAGTATTTTATGTTTTTTAGGTGATAGCATTTATTAAAGGGATAGTTCACCCAAAAATAAAGATTCTGCTGTTGTTTACTAACCCTTAAGTTGTTATAAACCTGTAGAAGTTCTTTCATGTGTTGAACATAAAAAGATAAAGATATTTTGAAGAATGTTGGTAATCAAACTCTTTCTGATCCATATTGACTTCCAAAGTATAAAGTCAATGAAGACCAGAAACTGTTTGATTACAAACATTCTTCAAAAAATTTTTTTGGGGTGTTCAACAGAACAAAGAAACTCATAAATTGTTGTAACAAATTGAGTAAAAGATGACAGCATTTTATTTTTTGGGTGAACTATCCCTTTAAGAATGAGAGTGACACTCTTTCGAAAATGTCAACCAGAAAAACTTTTGTGAATTATTATTTTGAGAGTTATTATTATTATTATAAATCGTATACATCATATAAACATTAAAATAAACGCTAAAAAAGAAAATAATAAATAAAGATTACACACGCCCCCTCTAGCGGTTCTTCACTGACACTTGTGAAACAAACTCACACGTCAACAGAGGGCGTGTCCCGAGACGAGTCCTAGCCTGTCATTGGATGTCATTTGATTGACGTGCTCACGTGGGCGTTAGAGTGCAGGAAGTTTCTAATGAATCGCTGTTGTGTTTTGAGGTAAGTGCGATCGAATTAACTTCATAATTTCACATGATATTATTGTTAAATGTGTTTGTTTATCAGTTTTTGTCATACAAAATGATTGTGTTGTGTTTATAAACAGCTACGGTTTGTATTTGTTCATCGTAGATTGTAACAACATCAGATGTTTTAGACTAGAGAGTCATTGGATTGTTTACTTAAAGCTTTAGTGTTTATTTATAGAAACATAAAGTCAGGAAATGTTCTAAAGACGACTTTATATGCGAATTGTAAGAACAGTTTGTAAATTGTTTGACTTTGATGCTCGACAGTGGACACGGAGTCTTACAAAACAACGGATTTATTTGGTATTTATTATTATCTCTTTATTCTGGAAGTCATTTGAGTGTTAAAGAATCCGTTTAATCATGTTAAACGTCTAAAATAAGGGGTTTCTTCTCATGTTTCAATGTGACGTAGTGTAGCGTACTGTTAAACTGCAACAGGATTAAATTATTCATTTACAGTCCTGCTCAAACATGATAGTTTTCTTTTAAACGTTTAGATTTGTCTTGACTTGCCACAATGGTTTTCTCAGATAGCTGGTGGATTTTATTTTTAAACAAAATTAAGTTCTTTTATACAGCAAGGATGCATGAAAAATGACAGTTAAGACATTTATTTCAATAATCATAAATATTTCTTGAGCATCAAATCATCATATTAGAGTGATTTCTGAAGGATCATGTGACTCTGAAGACTGGAGTAATGATGCTGAAAATTCAACTTTAAGTTACATTTTACTATGTATTCACATAGAAACCACTTATTTTAAATTGTAATAATATTTCACAATATTACTGTTTTTTTCATCAAATAAATGCACCCTTGGTGAGCAGAGGAGATTCTTTCAAAAACATTAAAACATCTTTTGAATGGTAGTGTAAATTCAGTCATTTGGACAGAACTTATGCATCTCATTTTGACCTAATGTTATGCTTAATTACTTAAAATTAGTTTAAGGCACACATATAAATTATGCCTATGTATAAATTTACTGTATTTTTGTGTGATATTTTTGCCATGCATACTGTCCCAGGTGTTTAACAGTTGTTAAAATTTCTGGCCTAAATATTTTCAAAAGTACAGTTTTAATGACATTTCTATTTTTCTACATGGATGAGCATGTAAAGTTTACTCAAGGCAGCCGAGATGTACACATATATACTGAACGCACACAGGGTTTGAGTGATGCTCTGTTCAGAGGTCATAAGGTCATCGTGAAGATTGACAGACAGTCGCTCACTCACCCCTGTGCGAGGTTCAACATCAGTTCCTCAGGTCTGAGTCGAGTCCAGATTTATGTGATGTTGAATGGATGAATGTTCACATCAGTCTGTAAATTGACAGCGTTGTCGGACAGAATTAGACAGCCGGTTTGTTCTCTCTCTCTCTCTCTCTCTCTCTCTCTCTCTCTCTCTCTCTCTCTCTCTCTCTCTCTCTCTCTCTCTCTCTCTCTCTCTCTCTCTCTCTCTCTCTCTCTCTCTCTCTCTCTCTCTCTCTCTCTCTCTCTCTCTCTCAAACACACACAATTCCACACAATAGCAGAGGAAACTGCTGGCATGGTTTTCATGCTCTCTCTCTCTCTCTGTGTGTGTGTGCATGCTGTTTTCATGTTTAGCTGGTTTAATGTTGAAATAATACTAGTTTGTAATGCTCTATGTTGTGTAGCCGGGTCACCGTGTGTGTGATTTCAGATGGTGTTTGGGTGGGATGTGTTTTGTGTTGTGTGTGTGTGTGAGCGCTTGAATGTACTGGGTCTCTCTCAGAACCACCAGTATTACCTTCTTTGTTCGTTCCACACACACGGTTCACAGAGAGAGACAGAATAAAGGGCTTGAATTTAAGTAAAATAAGCTCTGCACACAATCCTCTACGTGTGGATGATCTATCCAGATAGTTGGTGTTGAGCTCATCTGTAGGATGAAGGAGGTTTGTACTCCTCGATGGCTGAGGGGTGGAGGGTTCCCGGCTTTACAGGCCTTCGTCATCATCATCATCTGTCGATCTGGGTATGTGCTCTTCATGGATCGTCAGAGCGGAAGAGTTTCCTCTGTTAATGTCGATTTATAATTCCCTCGAATGAAAAAAGTTTTTTATTTAGCAATTTTTAACTCAGTAAAGCCTATCGTATTTGATATTTCTAAGTCCAGATAAATGATCTGCTAAACCTGTCGCACACGATCTCCTACAGTCCTTCTGTCGTCTGATTGATAGTTCATATTTTATATCATGTAAAAACCTTTTTAACGGTACAAACGTCCTCCTTCAGCTCGAGCTTTACGTCTTTCTGCTGCCAAATCTGCACTGATTTTATCAAGTAAACAATATTGTTAGTAATATTTCAAGATAAACACTAGATTTAAGCAACTTTGGTTTATTCAATTATTCATCTTTTTTTTAAATCATGAGTATGAAATATGATCAGCAGGCTTTTGGGGAAGGTTTAGCCTATTTGTTCATCTCTCAATCATCATTGAATTGCTTTGTATTATATGTTTTAAAACTACAGAGCTTTGATCATAAAACTAAGCATTTAAATATCTCAAGACATATTATATTATATTATTTAAATGCATTTAATATGAGCATTCTGTTGTACTGTTATAAAGTTTTTACATGACAAACTATCAGAATTTAGTCTTATAAATATCAGCATCTGCAGCAAATTGCATATTTCTGCTTAGTTTGCGCCTCTGAATAAAATTGAGCTGCTTTTTTATATCTCAACTATATGAGCCATAAAAGCCTATCAATATATATATTTTTTTTAAGATTAAGAATTAGTTTTTTCTGTCTATTATTTTCATGTCATGCTTTAGGGTTCAGTGCTAAAAATGTGTTTAATGTACGGTCAGCCTCTGCATAAATGATTCAATGAGCTAAAATGTATGTTATGATGATTTATGATTTGTGGCACAAGGACAAGGTATTAGTTGTCATATCAGACGGCATTGACAGGTGTTTTCAAATGTTTTGAGTGATTTTTCTGTAATTGTTGTGCTCATTTAATTTCAGGAACGTCTTATTTGCTGTGAAGAAACTGTATTTTTATGTCTTCATAACGGCCATCAGACAGCCTTTGGAAAATCACAATCCAAACGTTGAACTGAGTTTGTGTTTTTGTTTGTTCACTTGCTTGTCATCCAGACCCGGCTGAGACTGCACCATTTACTCATTAATGATCTTATTATTAAGAAAAAGGTCACGTCTGGTCTGGTCATATCTTATTTGGTGTTGTACAAAAGTATTTTTATGTGACGTTTTTCTCAAGCCTGACATATTACAATGCCTGATATCAGTTTTTTTTAATGCTCAAAAATCTCTGTCCTCGTACATCTCAAGCTCAGCCTCTGGCGTTTTGCTACTTCAGCAAGTTGCTTGATTTATATAAAATGAAAATGGATCAGAAAGATGTTTAACCAGCTGTTAAAGATGTCGTCCTCTGAGCTAAAGAGATTCAAGTGTTTCTTAATGTCAACATCAAATCAAAACTCATCCTATTACTATTATTCATCAGTGCAGGTTTTTTTAAAATAAAAACTTGCTCCACTGATAAAGTCCTAACACCGAAGAGATTAAGGAACGTATTACCAATTTACATGCACTTATCCTGTGTGTTATAAACGGCCTGACTCAGTTTATATCGTGTCAGATTGTGTCACAAATGAAGGCAATGCTTTCAATCAGTTTTGGCGTGACTTCAGATCTGCCAGCATGTCATGATCATTAAGTTGAGATGTTGCGCACTGTCAGACTCTTGCTCTGTGTGCAAAGGTCACAGTCGTATATTAAGGAGTAAAACATGAGCTGAAACTCACTCCTAATCTTTGTGTGTCTCACTCTTCAGTCCCAGACCATGAACTACGTGGGTCAGCTGGCCGAGACGGTGTTTGTGACGGTGAAGGAGCTTTATCGCGGTCTGAACCCGGCCACACTCACCGGTGGCATCGACGTGATCGTGGTTCGCCAGCCTGATGGCACTTACCAGTGTTCCCCGTTCCACGTCCGCTTCGGGAAACTGGGAGTCCTGCGGTCCAAAGAGAAAGTGGTGAGCTGGAGTGTGGAATCTGCCATCATATTAATGCAGATCTAGAGGAATCTGTGTTTGTGTTCTTCTGAATGACATTAGTTAAAGCTCTTGTGCTTGTCTGACAAAATGTTCCTCTTTCTCAAAACTAACCAAACTTTAACACCAGAGAACCTCTTGTTAGCAGGAAATAGCTGTCAAGATGTACAAGCGATTAAATGTGTCAAAAATAGTGAAATTAACTACCAAGTTCTACTATTATTATTTTTTCCATTTTGCTAGACAGTGATGACAGTCATATTTTAATGTGAAATCAGTGGCATTTCCTTTAATTTTAAATGAAACTATTATTTATTTTTATTTTTACAGGATATTTAATGGCAGTTATATTTCCATTCAACAGTGGAATTTCATTTACCTTCATTTTTAAACTAAATTTAAATCAACCTTTTTTATTAATTTATTTGCAGTCATACAGGTGAAACTCGAAAATATCGTGCAAAAGTTAATTTATTTCAGTAATTCAACTTTAAAGGTTAAACTAATATATGATATAGACTCATTACATGCAAAGTGAGATATTTCAAGGCTTTATTTGTTATAATTTTGATGATTATGGCTTACAGCTTATGAAAACCCCAAATTCAAAATTAGAATATTGTGAAAAGGTCTTCATAGCTGTAAGCCATAATAATCAAAATTATAACAAATAAAGGCTTGAAATATCTCACTTTGCGTGTAATGAGTCTATATAATATATTAGTTTCACCTTTTAAGTTGAATTACTGAAATAAATGAACTAGTTTCACCTGTATTTTCAGCATTTCATTTAATTTGATTTAACATTATTTTATATTTTACAGCTAATTTAATACCATGGATAATTGCATTCAGCAATATTATTTTGTCCTTGCATTTTACACCTTGTAGCATTTTTTTATAGTGTGCCAAAGCTTCTTGCACAAAGTTTTTAATGGCCATTTCCAATCACTATAACCATTAGAAATAAACATGTTTTTTTTTTTTTTTTGCATCTGTACCTTTAAGACTTCATTATTTAAATGACCTCTGCAGACCATTCATATGTTAATGAGCTCATGGATAATGTAAGAGGCTTCAGTATGTCTACATTGCACATCATTTTATTTTAAAAAAAAAGAGAAGAAAATCTTATTTCCCTCGTAAATTGGTTGGTTTTCAGAATCCACATTCCTAAGTATTGCTCCAGTTCAGGTCACATGACGTAACCGCTGTATTCGCCCATCCACAGGTGGATATCGAGATCAACGGGGAGCCTGTGAGCCTGCATATGAAGCTGGGAGATAATGGAGAGGCGTTCTTCGTGGAGGAGAACGAGGATTTTGAGGTTTGTCCGGATGACTGAGTTCACGAATCTCTCGTCTAATGTTCTGCTGTGGTTTTCACGATTCTCTCTCCGTGTCCGTGTCAGACGAGGGTTCCCGCTCATCTCTGCACCTCTCCGATCCCCACTGATGTTCTCGAAGTGTCCGAGACAACCGAGTCTTCCGTCACGTCTTCCTCCAGTCGACGCAAAAAACGCCGGCGTAAACGTGCTCGTTCAGACAACCATCAGCAGCGTGAGGACGACAGATCCTCCTCGGACGAGAAGGGAGAAAGTCTAGACCAGGATTTCCTCAAGGACGAGTCGCTTTTGGCGGCCAGGTTAGATGTTTACTAAGCTTATTGTACATGAACTTTTCCAGCTACTGTCAGAAAGAAGATTGGAGGCTGGTTATTTCATGAAGCTCTAGTTGCACCAGCTGTGCATAAGCTAGTTTTAACGTAAAGAAGCACTAAGTTACAACTTATGCACTAATTAAACTTAAACTCTTAATGAAGGCACTTTATTTTACAGTACATGCGCTTACATGTACTGACAGTGTACTTAAGAAAGTACTGGAAAACTGGTAAATTAATCATAATAATAAATAAAGGTAATTTATACTTTTAAACGAAATACTTTTGTTTGTATCAGTATTGATTAATTGATCCTTATTCATTTTAAATAGAATTTTACATTTACATATTTACATTGACAACTGTCAGAAAGAAGTAAGATTGGTGGGGATTATTATCAACAATAATTGGTGATTATTCTTATTTTAGAATTTTTATTGTTGTAGTCTATCATTTAGTTGTGTCAAAAAGCAGAAATAAAACAAGACACTAGCTTTGATTACTTATGCATACTTAAAACTACAGCCTAGTTTAAGTGGCCCTAAGTTACAACTTACACCCTAATTAAACACCCTAATTGGAGGCACCTAAGAAAGTACTGTTAAATTGGTAAATTAATCGGAATACATAAAGGTAATTTATTGTGTTTTGTTTGTATCAGTATTTATTTATTGATCCTTATTCATTTCAAATAGAATTTTTGAATGTTATTTATTTACATATGAAAATGCCTTTTTTGATATTGATGATTAAGTAGTATCGTATTTCAAGTTATTGGATCATTATGGATAAACAACATCTCGTTATGCAACTACGCATTACTTTTCTAAGAGCTTGCGACCTACTGTGTTCTGGCTTAAAGTCGACATGAAACAAGTTGTGCTCATCTTTACTTCTCTATTGTGACGTATATCCGAGTGAAACGCTTCTGGAACAAGAACAAATGTGGGCGGGGCTTGATTGTGTCTGTGAGGAATTGATTGGATGGTTGTGGTTTGCTATTGGCTGATCTCATGTGAGTGACAGGTTATAGCCCCGCCCTCGTCATCAGAGAAGAGAAGAGATGCTGTGAGAGGGAGTTATTCTGATAATGATATGCACGAATAAATCATTTATATTCCATAAAAACAAAAAGAATTTTCAGTTTTTATTTCATGGTGACTTTAAGAGCAAATGAAAGTTACAAATGGTTTTTGTTTTTTCTCTCTACAGTAAGTCTATATACTTCTCGCTGTCAGAGGAACCCTACGAGGAATCGTGTGGCGCTCCGAGAGACGTTCATCCTCACTCTGAGGGAGAGTGTTCTGTTAGCGAGAGGTACGGATATATCCTTAACCGGTTTTGCTCACCAGTCACTGTGGCTAATGGTTTTCCAAAGTTACTAGCCACTCAAAATTTTTCACTGGCCCCAATTTGGACATCGATATCATGGTGAAAAAACTGCCATATAGATATTTTTTTATATTATCTCATAATTTGACAGCAGGTTTATAAGGCTGCTGTCACTTTAAGACCTGACGCACAGATCCATTATACTGTTACACATGCGTTTTGTTTCTCAACTCTTTATGTTCACTTAAAACATATAACTGACTGTGTTTATGTAAATACTCTGTGTGTATTTGACTGTTTAAGTCCAATAAGCAGCAAAAATTACTCAATTTAGTACTGAGGGGCATCTTTGTGTGCGCACACTTTGGGTGTGAGTGGCAAATGAAGCGAGTAAGTAAAGAGAGCCGGGTTTGTGTGTCAGAGAGATGAGAGAGAGAGAAAGCACAGCTGGTATTGTGTGTCTATTCTGCGGAAAATTAGTATTGGAAGCGTTTCAGATATTTCATTATTGATATGCATCAAAAACCCGCTATTTTTGACAATGCATTGCACTTAGTTTGCTATTTCAGATGCCTTTTTAAAAAACTACAATTGAAAAATATATATAAAATTCAACCCGACAAAGTGGCTGGTAGGAGTGACTGCCTTACACACCACTGCTGAAATACACACCCATCTGGTGGGTTGGCGGGTGTTAATGTCAAGCCCTGATCCTCAAACATCTTCAAATGATGTGTTCACCATATTTTAACTTCCTCTGTTCATATCATGAGTTTCTCTGTTGTCTCTGTCTGTAGTGTGTTCTACAGTCGGCCCTCCTCTCCTAAGAGTGATTCTGAGTTATGCAAGCCGCAGGAGTCTTTAGGACCTCAGATGCAGTGGAACTGGGGCGCTTTTCCAAAGGTACCGTGCTGCATTAAACTACTGCATGCGTAAGGCTTTCATCGCAGATTAAGCCCCTTCAAAATGTCAGAATGTGTCGAAGCCTAGTGAGCTTCCTACCTACAGTCAAACCAAAAATTATTCAGACACCAGATATAATTTTTTATATTTTTTACTAGTGAGTGCAGGACTCTATAGTTCATTAATGTAAGTGAGGAGAGCAAAATAAAGTAAACTGTGACATATTATACACAAATATTCTTCATACAGTGACTACCAGTAAAATGTATAAAAATTTGGGACCAAAAATGATTCAGACACTTTGACCTGATCATGTTTTCTTAAGTGTTTTTTCTTTAATTGCTAATGCACCTTTTTACACCACAGACTGAACAACATGAAGCATTGCTTTAAAATTGGTTGACCATAATTGGTATTATCTAATTGTGTAGTTAAATTTAACAGCTTACAGATATTCAACATAATAATAATAATAATAATTCATTACATTTATATAGCGCTTTTCTAGGCACTCAAAGCGCTTCACATGGAAGGGGGAATCTCCTCAAGTCATCTGTGAGAGTTTAACTGAAGGATGGACAAAACCAGTGAAATATCAACCGAGTTCTTGTCATATTTTATTACCATTTTCTAAACTATAGCGAATAAACTGTGATAATGTGAGAAATGTTGAAGGTGTCTGAATACATTTTGGTTTGACTGTAGGTTTGTTCCTGGACAAGGCTGTTATAAGACTTTCTGAGGTGATTGCATGTGCATCTTTGTTTATGTAGGTGTGTCAGGCAGAGAGGGATGAATCTGATTCGCTGCCCTCCTCCATTACGCCCGCTGACCACTCCCACTTTCGTACCATCCATCGGCAATCATCCTTCGACAGTGACAACCCTGACTCTGTTGTGACTGTGGTGAGACCAGAACCTCAGATTGGTACGACCAGCCATGACCAAGTGGTTTCTTCATCCTTTAAGGTCACCGAAACGGATGTAGTGACCTTTCAATCCGCAGACGACTCCTTGACCACACTGGAAAACATCGAGATTAGAGACTTAACATCTGAAACTGTTAGCAGCACAGACAATGATACTAAAACGTATGATATAACTAGCTCTGCTAATACAATCCATGGGACCAATGCTGTCAACAATGCAGGTATTTCAGATGCTGACATAGAAAGCCAAGAGACCTGGGATGAGGATAATATCTCCAAAATCCAAACCATTACCCATGTCACGTTCAGTGAGACTGAATCAAAGGTTTTAGAAGCAGAAACTGAAATAAACTCAATCACGGTTTTACCAAAACACCAAAGCTCAGCTGAAAAACTGACTCTCAGGACAGGAGACTCAGAGGAGGGGGCGGGATTAGAGACTTCACTGACCAATCAGGACGCTGACAACGCTAGAGTGACGGAGTCCATCGTCCAATCAGAGGATCAGACAGCTCTCGAGTCGTCCTCTAAAGCCTCAGACTCTCAGGACAAGAGGAAAGGTAGTGGATTACATTGGGTGCTTCTCGATTCTTATTTGTGCATCCTCGTTTCTTTTCCTCGCTTCCTTTCCTCGCTTCTCAGCTCCACTCCTGTAGGACTGGAGGCTCCGAAGGCTGCAAGGAAAAGAAACGAGGACGGAGGAATCGAAGGAAAGCTTTTTTGTATATTGGAATATTCCTGATCACACAGCGTCATCAGCAGCGCTCAAAGGATCTGCCCTTATGTTGTTGAAGTTTGGTTATTTAAGAAATTCATAGTAAATAAAATATAAAGCAAGATACCCTGTTGAAATATGTAAGATGTGTGGTTTATATAACCTGCAAAGGTAAAGTATAAATTAAAATGATTGTGACTGAGGGGGGAGGAGGAATTTATACGTGCTTCACGTTAAGTCGATAAAACTCTTCCGCAAAGGATACACCCGTGTCTCCTCGCTCATGACTCCTCAGGAAGCCTCCTCACTCCTCGATCCTCGCCTCCTCACGCCTCACTCTTTGCCCCCCTACTCCTCGATCCTCGCCTCCTCACTCCTCGCCTCCTTGCCACTCGATCCTCGCCCCCCTACTCCTTGATCCTCGCCTCCTCACACCTCAATCCTCGCCTCCTCACGCCTCGATCCTCGCCTCCTCACGCCTCAATCCTTGCATCTTGCCTCCTCACGCCTCGATCCTCACCTCCTCACCTCCTCACTACTCGATCCTCGCCCCCTACTCATCGATCCTCACCTCTTTACTCCTCGATCCTCGCCCCCCCTACTCCTTGATCCTCGCCTCTTTACGCCTCGATCCTCACCTTCGCAAGCCTCAATCCTCGCATCTCGCCTCCTCACGCCTCGATCCTCACCTCCTCACGCCTCGATCCTCGCCTCCTTACTCCTCGATCCTTGCCTTCTCACTCCTTGATCCTTGCCTCCTCACTCCTCGCCCCCTACTCCTTGATCCTCTTCTCCTCGCCTCCTTACTTCTCAATCCTCGCCTTCTCACTCCTCGATCCCCGCCTTCTCACGCCTCGCCTCCTTACTCCTCGATCCTCGTCCCCCTACTCCTCGATCCTCACCTCCTCACTCCTCGCCTCCTCGATCCTCACCTCCTCACGCCTCAATCCTCGCCTTCGCACGCCTCAATCCTCGCCTCCTCACGCCTCGATCCTCGCCTCCTCACACCTCGATCCTCACCTTCGCACGCCTCAATCCTCGCATCTCGCCTCCTCACGCCTCTATCCTCACCTCCTCACGCCTCGATCCTCGCCTCCTTACTCCTCGATCCTTGCCTTCTTACTCCTTGATCCTTGCCTCCTTACTCCTCGCCCCCTACTCCTTGATCCTCTTCTCCTCGATCCTCGCCTCCTTACTCCTCAATCCTCGCCTCACTCCTCGATCCCCGCCTTCTCACGCCTCGCCACCTTACTCCCCGATCCTCGTCCCCCTACTCCTCGATCCTCACCCCCTCACTCCTCGATCCTCGCCTCCTCGATCCTCACCTCCTCACTTCTCGCCCCCTACTCCTCGATACTCACTCCTCGATCCTCGCCCCCTACTCCTCGATCTTTGCCTCCTCGATCCTCACCTCCTCACTCACTCCTCGATCCTCGCCCCCTACTCCTCGATCCTCACCTCCTCACTACTCGATCCTTGCCCTCCTCACGCCTCGATCCTCGGCCCCTACTCCTCGATCCTCACCTCCTCACTCCTTGATCCTCGCCCTCCTCACTCCTCGATCCTCGCCCCCTCACTCCTCGATCTTTACCTCCTCACTCCTCGATCCTCGCCCCCTACTCCTCGATCCTCGCCCTCCTCACGCCTCAATCCTCGCCCCCTACTCCTCGATCCTCACCTCCTCACTCCTCGATCCTCGCCCCCCTCACGCCTCGATCCTCACCTCCTCACTCCTCAATCCTCGCCCCCTACTCCTCGATCCTCGCCTCCTCGATCCTCGCCTCCTCGATCCTCGCACTCCTCGCCTCCTCACTCCTCGATCCTCACCTCCTCACTCCTCGATCCTCGCCCCCTACTCCTCGATCCTCGCCCTCCTCACTCCTCGATCCTCGCCCCCTACTCCTCGATCCTCGCCTCACTCCTCGATCCTCACCCTCCTCACTCCTCGATCCTCGCCCCCTACTCCTCGATCCTCGCCCTCCTCACTCCTCGATCGCTCCCTACTCCTCGATCCTTGCCTCACTCCTCGATCCTCATCTCCTCACTCCTCGATCCTCGCCCCCTACTCCTCGATCCTCGCCTCCTCACGCCTCGATCCTCGCCCCCTACTCCTCGATCCTCACCTCCTCACTCCTCGATCCTCGCCCTCCTCACTCCTAGATCCTCGCCCCCCTCACGCCTCGATCCTCGGATATTGAGGGGATATTGAGAAGCACCCATTATCTGTACTTATTCTGTGCTTGAAATTGGTGTGAACAATTGACCTGTATGTGTTCTTCCTAGTCAAGCGGAGTCAACATTTGGGACCGTCTGATATCTATCTAGACGACCTCTTAAGTCTTAACCCTGAAGTCGCTGCCCTCTATTTCCCCAAGAGGTCAGAAGTTAAATTATCAATATGCATTACCGATTTGTTATAAATAAACAAAAATAAAATGTAATATTACCAACTTTGAAGAATTGCTCTACATCAAAGATGACCAATTTTCAATATTGAGGGTCCACTTTAAGAAAAAGTTATTTTAATGTGAATTTTGTGGACAGATCACTGTCTTTGATGGTTCTGACTGTGTTGTTGATGACTTGATCATTATTTTAAATGTGGAGAATGAGTACGTGTGTCCTCTTTAAATTCCTCTGTGTTTTCAGCGAGGCAGAGTCGTCGGATCTGCGCTCGTCCCACCCGTCGGATCCGTCTCCTCCCTCGGGTCAGCTTTCCCCTCAGTCTCTGGGCAGCACCAACGCAGACAGCGGCACTGAGTATCTGTCCGACTCCACGACTGACACTTTGGACGTCACCATGTCTCTTTGCGGGAGAGGAGACATCAGTCAGATCAGTAAAGGTACAGAACGACACAGACTTTTGTAGCTCCGCCCACTGTCAAATCTCATTGGTCCAAACTGCTGCTTCAAATAACCGTATGTTAAACTTTAAATGTATTCTGTAAATACAATATAAATTTAATATTCATTGAGTATATCATTATTATTATTAGCAAAAATAATAATAAATCCTAAATAAAAGATTGTATATTTTGTTTTATTTCTGCTTTTTGACAGTAACACATAAAAAAACAGTAAAAATTCAAAAATAAAAATAAAATAAAATAAAATAAAAATATTTATTTTATTGTATTTGATTGGTTTATTTCTGCTTTTTAACACAATAACTAAACAATTGTTGCACTGCAGCATTACAAATATAATATTTATTGATTATATTACTACTACTACTAACAATAATAATAAATACAATAAAATATAATATTATTTGGGTATATTATTTTTATTAGTAAAAGAAATATGTATTTTATATATTTATGCAAAGTTGTTTTGTGATCTATATAGTAACATATTTTCATCTTTGTTTTTAAATCACTGTTATTAAAATTATTGGTCCAAACTCCTGCTTCAATTAGCCGTATATTAAACTTTAAATGTATTCTGATTGGCTGTGATTTTGGTGTTTTATGCAGCATTTTATTTTCAGTGACAGAAAAATTTGTCAAATGTCTTTTTTTTTACTTTTTTTTGCATTTGTTGCAGAGAAGTTTACAGAGCATCTTGTCAAGTATCAAGACTTTGTCAACAACCCTGGAATAATTGAAGACCCAAACCTGGTCATCTGCATCAACTCAAAGTTCGCTACATTTTCAATTCAATTCAAGTTTTTGGTATAGTACTTTTCACAATACATATTGTTTCAAAGCAGCTTTAGGAAATGCTTGTTGCAATATAGTTAGTATGAGTAATGCTTTTTTATTTAGCAGTAAGAATCTGTGCATTTCAGGGATGAAATGTTAGTTTTAATATACTAACAATTTTTGTAAGTAATATAGAAAGCCTAACTGTTGGTTGGTTACTAACTTGGTGCATCAACATTGAATTAAATGGAAGTGAAGTCAACTATATTTGCAGTTTTATGTATTTAGACATGGCCCAATCAGATTTTTGTTTTATTTTGGTCTGCAGTTTGATGATATTAATAGGGTTTTTTGTTTTACCGTTGTGTTTGATTTGTTTCAGGTATTATAACTGGGCTGTTGCTGCTCCAATGATTCTGTCAGTTCAAGCTTTCCAGAAGACTTTACCAAAGGTAGGTCGGTCATTGATCAGTGCTTAAATGATTAATCATTCAGGGATAATGACTTCTCTGTTGTTGTAGAGCACCATTGAGCAACTAGTCAAAGATAAGATGCCCAAGAAGTCAGGCCGCTGGTGGTTCTCCTGGAGGAGGAAAGAATTGAACAATATTGCGGTAAGAACTGATTTCATTTTCATTCAGTCCATTTCATTGAACTAACAGAATCTAACAGTAAATAAATGATGTTTATAACTGAAACAAGCAACCCTGAGATGATTGTGCAATATCTGCTGACTGTGCCTGAATATCTCTAAAGCTGCATTGCACATTTATTTTGAAAAACTTTCCATGTTAGGGAAACACAAAGGCCGACTCAGAAGGGAATCAGCTTGAAGCATCTGCCGCTGTTCCTGGACCCTCTTCCCTGAAGTAAGACGTGTGTTTGCATGCATGCAGAATATTAAATATATGGACTCGGTATTTTTTTCCTCATTATAACATTTGACACAAATAATTGAGAATAAAACAATTGTTTGATAAATCTTCCTCTAGCCATGCACCAGCACAAGCCACCAATGATGCATTAAAAATGTCTTGTTTATTTGTGTCATATTAGACAAAAAAGGATGCAAAGGAACAAAACAACAGCGACAGAAGTTAATATCCAAACTTCATGCATCCACACCAACAGTTATCAGTATAAAGTCCAAAAAATACAGGACAAAAACAAATGAAAACAATGTAGATTGAATGCATCTGTGCACCACATCACAGCGAGTTCTCTTCGCACTAAATCTAATGCAACCGTTTGTATAACATTGCATAATTTTTTTAAGTAAGTTTGGTACGATCAGAGAAATGTGATTCCTCTTCTGTTCAGAGAGCTCTTAACCGTTGATATTCTGACTCTTTCTTCAGTTAAACATGATTAAACTCAGTATTATCTGCACTGTTGGCTGACTGATGGAAATGTGCATTGCTTATTTTATCTTTGACAGTAAAGTCAAAAATTGGTGTTTTTGTTTGTTTTATTATGTGTATGTGCACAGGAGTTCTGTTGAACTCTCGAGCGATGAGGATGGTTCTGTGTCCATGATGAAGACCAGTGAGATGATGCAGTGCATCAGTCAGATGTATCGCAAATCCCTCCGGCTGACCTCTGAACAGATCGTAAGAGCACGTCTAACAATATCATCATCGTTATCAATATCGGACGTTTGTGTGGTAGAGTTTAGTAAGGAGCACCTGGACTTTCTGCAACTTGGAGATAAATTGAAACAATGCACCACAGAAACAGATAATGAATGTAGATAATACCATTTATATTAATTTTCATGACTGTATTACAGTTATCTTTCTTTAGATTGTGTAATGTTTGAGCATGAAAAGAAAAATTCCCACCAAAGAGAGTTCTTCTCTAGATCAGTGTCAGTGTTTCTGAACTCCCTGAGACGCCTCCATTGTAGTCTTGAGTTTCTTCGAGAACGAATACGTCACAATATTCCTCATTTTAATAATTCATACGCAGAATAAAGGGGTGGGGCCTGGTTGAGTTAAGCATGAAAACTGACTCTAGAGGAGCCCAAAAACAAAATCAAGACTTTATAAAAAGTGCATAATATGGCCTCTTTAATAAACTAGACATGTGTAATCTGTGTAACTTGTATGAATTCGAGATTTTATTTATTTATTGTGTGTGGCAGGAGAGTCTAAATCTGCGTGAAGGGGCCAATAATGTTGTGTTCAGTGTGACCACGCAGTACCAGGGCACCTGCCGCTGCGAAGCCGCCATTTACCTGTGGAACTATGATGACAAAATCATCATCTCAGACATCGATGGAACCATCACTAAGTGAGTCTGTGTGTTTGTCTGAGCCTCTGCAGGATTTCAAGGTACTATGTGGGACATTATACTAACCGTTGTTCACCTTTTTCACGGTATCAGGTCAGATGCGCTGGGTCACATCTTACCGCAGCTGGGGAAAGACTGGACTCATCATGGCATCGCTAAACTATATCACAAAATACATCAGTAAGAAACACACAAGGTTCAAATCACAAGTGTCTGATTTTGATAAAACATTTGTGGTTCACTATAATCATGTGCGATTGTTATAATAGTTTTGATAGATACAGAAACTGTTTAAAGCAGCAGCAATGCAAATATTTTTAAGGTATTAATAAAAAAAAATTCCCTGAGATGCACTGGAAATAAGGGCATGCCATTTAATGAATTATATTAATTGCAATTAATTGCATATATACAAAGTTCTGTCATGAAACCCTAGATAGCGCCGGCTGATAGATCCTTAGCTCAATCTGCCAGCAATCACATCATTCTCTATAGGGCACAGCTGATTGGTTCTCGCTGTATCGGGAGCCAATGAGCTCGATGCTCAACCTTTAAAGGGGACATATCATCAAATCTGACTTTTCCCAAGTTTAAGTGCTATAATCGGGTCCGCTATGCTTCTACCAACTCAGAACACGTGAAAAGTGAAACCCAGTAACTTTGTTTTGGTGAGGCTTTCTCTGCAAGCATGTCAAATAATGAGCCGATCAGAGTTCGCTCTCCTTCTGACGTAGGAAGGGGATCTTATTATAATATTACCGGCCCTTAATCTGCACGTTTACACCCACGGAGCCGCCATTTGGTTTACAACAGTGTAACCAGTTCTAACACAATGGCAAAAGTTGGAGCAAAACATGAAACTGTTCTGTCATTGCGGCACAGACGAGCACTGAACACTATTTGACCAAAAAAATGTCACAGCCGTCTTATTAAGACCTCAGGGAACTGTCAACTTGTGTAAAAGTTGAACATGAGGATGAGAGGAATCAATGTAACTCCACAACAACTACATCCATCTATCCACTAACATTCAGAAACGTCCAGGTGCGTCTAAAAGTGAAACTCTTCCCGAGTCTCTCCGTAAGGCTGCACTCGCTGCGGGTTATTTCTGAGATTTGACTGAAATTTGCGTTTGTTATTGCTGGAGTATCCGAAGCTTGTTTAAAAAGGATCGATCATCTTTTTAGGGCTGCCACTAACGATTATTTTAATACTCGATTAATCTGTCGATTATTTTTCCGATTAATCGATGAATCGGACTTAAAAAAAAAAACACACATTAATTTCCAATCCTTTATTAAAAAACAGAACTGACAGTGCAAATTCACCGTGGAAAAAAAATCCAGTGCAAAAAAATGGACTAACAAAAAACATACACATGTATGATTTACATCTGCCAAATAATATATATAGGCTTTTTAAAAATAAAGTGAGCTGCTGTCAGAACAATAAATAATTGATAAAAAATAAAGAAAATTACAAATCAGAAAACTTAACAGGATTTGTTTGAACGTCCGAACTTGTTCTCTACACCACACTAGCACACACTCACAAACTCTCACACTCACAGATGCACACACTCACAAACTTGTGTTTTGTTTTTGTCAAAGATGTTATAATCTTTAACACAATGTTTGACATTTTTTAACAAGCAAATGCACCTATTATCATATATTACCTATAATAGGTAATAATAATAGCAATAATAATAATTATAAGAGAAGATAATATCTCTAGTCTATCCTAATATTAATTATAAATACAATGTATATAAAATATAAATACAATATTAAATAATATTTAAAAAACAAATACAATGGATTGACCATCTCCTATGGTGTGTAAGGTATTTTGCAGCTCATCTTTCTGAGCATATAGTGTTTCTCTGAGTCATTAGAGTAAAGATTGAAAAATTCAGTGCTGTAAATTGTGGAAGAAATATTCCCCTGCCCTTGTAGTGGTAGGCTATTTGGACAGACAAGAAAGTGTTTTCATCGTCTGTCTATCTGATTCAAATCACAGTCTGCTAATTCAGTGGTAAGAATTTAATTGTTGTTTTTAGTTATATCTTATATAGTAGGCCTAATTATATATTACTATGTAGTATGTACCAAATTACTAATGCTCAGACACACTCGGTCTCTCTCTCTCTCTCGCTCCGCGATCAGTGCTCCACGCTCAACTCCATTTTTTTTTTAATACTCAAACATTTCTGCGTCACGCGATGCAACGAATCGATTATGTAATTCGTTGCCAACTCTTTCAGAAATCGATTTTAATCGATTTATTCGATACGTTGTTGCAGCCCTTTTGCATTTAAAGGGTCACACCCAAAAAGAGCTATAATAAATGATCTGGGGGGTATTTAGAGCTGAAATTTAACAGACACCATAGATTTATAATACATCTTGTGAAAAGGGGCATACTATGTCACCTTTAAATACTGGTCAGCATTTGCTGTAGCAGTTGCAGTGCGCTTTCAGAAACCCTCCACCGTCCCCAGCTCCACCTGTATAGATCTGCTTCGGGTTATTCATGTACGCTGTATTGTACAGCAGCAGAAGCATGTCTTACTTGCTCACAGCAGCGCGTTGTGTTGTATGTATTAGCAGTAGCAAACTAGCAAGTCTCATACATGATCAGAAGCAGCAGCAATAATATCAGCAGCAGCAGCGAAGCAGATTTATTCCGCCAAGATAAAACATATCAACAGTGTCATAACCATTACCATACCAAACTCTCCGAGAGTTGTCATGACAGAACTATATTTGTTGACAAATTCCCTCATGTAATAGGCAGGCTTTGCAATATCACATCTCACTTTAACAGTTTTAAAAACACTGCCGTTCTGGTCTACCTGTTCAGCTGTTTTTTAAATATATGGTGTGAAATACATACATTTATTTCTGTAATTGATATATTAACAGCCCAATTAATACTTTTATTCAGCAAGGATGCATTAAATGAATAAAGTGACAGTGAAGACAATTATAAAGTTAGAAAAAAAATCTGTTTCAAATAAATGCTGTTTTTTTAAACTTTCTATTAATCAAAGAACCCTGCAAAAAAAAAAAAAAAAGGTTTCCACAAAAATTTGAAGCAGCACGACTGTTTTCAACATTGATAATAATCATAAATGTTTATTTAGCAGCAAATCATCATATTAGAGTGATTTCTGAAGGATCATGTGACACTGAAGACTGGAGTAATGATGCTGAACATTCAGC